CGAGGTGATGGTTCTTGAAAAGTTATTTATTGGTTAGTTAGTCATTATTTTAAACATTTAATTTCTACCTAAACAGTGCTTACACGAATTATAAACGATTGCTAAACAGAATTAGGATAGTTATCTGCTTAATAATTTTCTCCATCGTGTAGTTGTGGTATAAGAATATCCACTAGTCCATATCGTCCGTGGGGTGGTCGTAAGAAGCGACAAACGGACACTTCAACTTCATATTTTCGGCATAAAATATTGCCGCTGCCAACCTGCCTGCTAAGAGAGGCAACTATAGTTGAATCTTTCTGTGAGGTAACCTATCGTGGAGGCATACCATTGTTGACCATATATACAGCAGTGGTCTTTCACGGTCTGACAAAGAAGAAAGTACCAAATTAAACAGAATCTCAAAACTAAACAGTAAAAGTTTGACTGTATTGAGTTAAATAATGTGCTACGTTATGCGGTTCCCAGAACTGTACGTTAATGACGGGTGCGTGCGGATAAACTCTTTGCCGTGAGTGCCTGTCGAACAAATATCGGTATTCGTTCACCGATTCGACGTATGGTTGCCACATATAATGAGACCTTCGAGCATATAGACATTTTTACATGCTCAACGGAAAAGTTTTGAGGTCTTTTATACAAGACACTTTTCAAATAATAATTCTGTTAACTTTTTTTTATAGAAGAAGGGGCAAACGAGCATGTGGCTCACCTGATGTTAAGTGACTACCGCCGCCCATGATCAACCGCAACACCAGGAGAATTGCGGGTGCGTTGCCGGCCCTTTAGAAAGGAGTAAGCTCTTTTCTTGAAGGTCCCCAGGTCGTATCGGTCCGGAAAAATCGCCGGTGGTAAACTATTCCACAGAGAGGTTGTACGTGGAAAAAAACTCCTTGTGAAACGTACAGTGGTGGACCGCCAAGCATCCAGATAGTGTGGATTGTATCGGGACGTTTGACGTGTAGTGCGTTCACGAAATTTGGCGGCTGGGATTAATCCGAACAATTCCTCAGAGCACTCCCCGTGATAGATGCGATAAAATACGCAAAGAGATGCAACATCTCTTCGCAGCGCCAGTGAATCGAGCAGATTGGAAAGCACTCGGTCGTCGACGATTCGAGCCGCTCTGCGCTGGATGCGGTCAAGTGGAAGAAGCTGGTACTGAGGAGCCCCAGCCCAGAGATGGGAACAGTATTCCATGTGCGGCCGAACCTGCGCCTTGTAAAGTTGCAGGCGGTGTGCCGGCATGAAATACTGTCCCGCTTTGCTGAGCACGCCAAGCTTTTTAGAGGCCAATTTGGCCTTCCCTTCCAAGTGACCACGAAACTGCACGTCACTCGATATGTCGACGCCGAGGATTCCGATACTGGCTGAGGCAAAAAGGGGAGTGCCTTGAAACTGAGGGGATACGACAAAGGGGTTCTTTTTAGCGGTTAACGCGCAAACTTGTGTCTTCTGGGGGTTAAACTGGACTAGATTTAGTCGCCCCCAATCCGAGACTCTGTCCAGCAGAGACTCGACTTCAGACACAAGTTTGTCCCGGCACTCGGAGACGTTTTCCCGAGAAATATTGGCTCGGCCGGTGTAAAGAGCATCACCAGTGCTGTCATCCGCATAGCAATGAATGTTACGGGTACGCAACATGTCATTGATATGCAGAAGAAACAGCGTTGGCGATAGCACACAGCCCTGTGGAACACCAGCATTAATAGGCTTGCAATCGGAGCTTGCACCGTCTACAACGACCTTGATGCTCCGATCTGCAAGAAAGCTGGTGATCCAATCGCACAATTTCTCGGGAAGCCCATAGGAAGGGAGCTTCGAAAGAAGCGCTTTGTGCCAAACCCGATCGAAGGCCTTCGCAATGTCCAAACTAACGGCCAATGCCTCCCCCTTGAACTCTACTGCCTCCGCCCATCTGTGAGTTAGGTAGACCAGAAGATCACCAGCTGACCGACCACGGCGAAAACCCTATTGGCGGTCACTAATCAGCTGGTGATCTTCAAGGTACCTCATGAGCTGGCAGTTTACAATGGACTCCATTGTTTTGGAGAACAAGGAGGTAATGGCGATTGGCCGGTAGTTGGACGGGTCAGAGCGGTCGCCTTTTTTAGGGATCGGGTGGACGTAAGCCGTCTTCCATGATTTTGGGACTACGCCTAGGGAGTAGGAGTACCGGAAAAGACGCGTTAAAACCGGTGCCAACTCTGGAGCACACGTCCTCAGCACAATTGGGGGGATTCCGTCAGGCCCACTCGACTTGTGGATGTCCAGGGAGAGGAGTGCTTTGCGAACCGAGCGCTGTGTGAAGTGCACTTCCGGCATGGAGCACTCACACCGCGGGATGGTCGGCGGAGTACTCCCCCCGTCATCGAGAGTCGAGTTAGACGCAAAGAAAGAGCCTAGAAGATCGGCTTTCTCCTTTGCGGTATGGGCCAGTGAGTCGTCCTCCCTGTGCAGAGATGGAAGAGATGGCTGACAGAAATTCCCCTGGACAGCCTTGGCGAGAGACCAGAATGCACGGGTTCTAGAAGGAAGGCGAACTAGTTTCTCGCCAATTCTGCCTATGTGCTCTGACTTTGCCTTGGCAATGACTCTTTTGAAGGACCTAGAGGCGGAATTATACTTCTTTTTTAGAGCGCTGGTGTTTACATCCCGGGACGCTGATGCATCAGCCCAGGCTTGGTAGCACTCCTGCTTATAGCATGATGCTATTTTACAGGAGCGACCAAACCATGGCTGAGACTTGCCTCCAATGGGCACCACAGAGGAAGGAATAAAAAGTTCCATACCCTGAATTACCACATCAGCAACAGAGTCCGCAACAACGTTGGGATCATCCGGCGAGAAGCAAACCCGCCCCCAAGGGTAGGATGCAAAGAAAGACCGCATCCCATCCCAATCGGCTGACCTATAGTGCCAAACACGGCGGCAGCCTGCAGAATGCAACCGCGATTTCAGCGTGAGTGGCACCACACTCCGGACCAGACAATGGTCCGAGGAGCCTAAAGGGGCGTCGACGGAAATCTGATATCCGTCCGGGTGAGAGGTCAGCAGAAGGTCCAACAGGGAAGGTGCATGATCCTCCACATCTGGAATCCGCGTAGGCGAAGTAACCAGTTGTGTCAGACCATATGCCAAGGCAAAATCATGAACAGATCTCCCCGCATGATCGGTTAAAGGTGAACCAAGCCATTCGGCGTGATGGGCGTTAAAGTCGCCGAGGATCACGATCTCTGCGGGGGAATCTGCTGTAGCAACGAATCTGCAGCCATTTGGACGTGGTCGAATAGTCGGTCTGTTTCGGCATTACCGCTATGGGACCTATAGAGGCACCCGTAGACGCGCGGATGGTCGTCGCTGTCTACGCGTAGCCAAAGGATGGACAGGTCCGAACCTTCAAGTCTGCCGAGGCGTCGAGAGCAGATGTCCTCTCTGACGTAAACGCAAACTCCAGCCCGAGGCACAAAGGAGTGTTCCAGTTTGTAGCCCGGGTAGGAGAGATACGAGACATCAGCCGGAGAGGACACCTGCGTCTCGGTCTGAAAGAGCAGAGCCGGCCTCGCCGTCTCGAGATGGTAGTGGACGGCGTTTAGGTTAGAGTGAAGTCCCCTGATATTGCAGAAATTCACGGACAGCGGGGCAGGGGTCGCCTTGGTCTTGTTGCTCCGTTTGCCCCGAGCAGTTGTAGTCTTGAGCGGAATTTTGCCCCCCCCCCCCAGAATACGCGGGGCAGCCTGAGCACCCACGCTCAGAAGTGGAGAAACATGGTCGTGGATGCTCAGCGAGGGATTCTCCAGGGGTGCTGGTACCCTCCTGGGGTAGTGATCATTATTTAATTCCGCTACCATGTTGATGGGGGGAGGGATTTGGGCCTCCGGCCACCTGCACTCATCAGACGAAACGCGGAAGCAGAGCTTCCACTTCACGCCGGTATTCTGTGAGGTCGTGGTACCACCCCGGTTTGAGCCGGCCCATACGTGCAACAGCAAAGCTGCCGCGTGGCTCTACCACTGTTATTACTATATAACTTAGTCATACTATAATAACATTGTTGACCATACTTTAACATTTATATAATACGTTCTGTACAGCTGCACGTCTCCTAGCGTCTTAATTATCTATCCCAAGAGGTAATCTGTGAACAGCACTGTGGGCTGCATTACTGCGTATATTAAGTTACTTAATTATCTATCCCAAGAGGTAATCTGTGAACAGCACTATGGGCTGCATTATTGCGTATATTAAGTTACTGTACTATCTGTATGTAATATATTGTTGCGCGCCACAGTTGATGGCACTAGCGCCATCTGGCATCAATTATCAGAAATAGGAGTGTCAAGATCTTTCTAGAACTCTCTCAACAACGCCATCTAGTATCGAATTGAAGGATTAAGCTTTCTAGAAATCCCCACACTCGAGCTTTCTGCACCTTGTCGGTCGGGCCGGTATTTGGTGGAATATTCTGGATGTTTCGTTGGAAAAGACCTATTTAAAGCCGTTGAAAGCCGCGATCGGGGCAGTATTGAATTGGCGATTCAAGCGAAGACTTAGGAGTGAAGTAAATTGAACTAAAGTGTTACGTGTGTTTTAAGTTTTAATTGGCGTTCGGTAATTAAAGTGTCAATTTTGGTAATTCAATCGGCAGTTTTATTGTCGCGAACCCTAACACGACACACGCACACAAAACTCTCAAAACACCACGCACACCAACAAAAAAAACACACAACCACACAACACACACACAACACCAAAACACACACACGAATAAAACACACACACACACACACACTCATACACACACACACACACACAAACACAAACACAAACACGACACTCACACCACACACCCAACAACACACAACACAAACACACAACACACGCACACAATATATAATGTAGCTGTTAGCTGTTCCACTTTGATTAAAATAAAATAAAAATAAAAAACTGCTTAATTTACAATAAATAATTTAACAAAAACTTTGCCACTTATTTCACAGCGAATCTGAGTCATCCCCATCTCGACCGTACTCCACCCAATTAGAACAGCCGACGAAAGAGGAAGACAATGGAAGTTCTACGGACGACAACATATGCATCAGCACGTCACATAGTATTTGCGGAAATCTCTCCGGACTCACCATCACTATAAAAGGCATCGACAACGACGATGACAACCTTTTCTCGGCAACAGTCAGCAAGACCGACTGCAAGAATTGTCAGTGCCGTGAGTGTGCTTTTAAAGCTTTGAAAACTAAGTAGAACGTAAAGTTTTAAAAACATAAAAATAGAAGTTTACCCAACACTAGAATTTTCTCGTCGTGGAGGCAGTTTACATAAATATTTTCTTTCTAAATCTTTGCTTTGAAATGTTTTTTATTAAATTCTAAATAAATTCTGTCTGGCAATCAGCACCCCAACTCATCAGTAAGCCACATCGGCCACAAGGGGCCGTCATATAAGTATTTTTTTTATTATTACTGCAAACATCGAGAGTGGGTGGGTTTTTTTATAAGATACGCGGGTGACAAACGAGCATACAGTCCACCTGATGGTAAGTGGTTGCTGTAGCCCAAATATATATATATATATATATATATATATATATATATATATATATATATATATATATATATATACATGCGCCGCTACACGCAGGCAGTCGCGCTTGTCACTTTTCTGTTACCTACGTAGGCGTTATTTAAATTTTTACTTATTGACTCAATTTCTTTCAAAATCGTTATCTGATCAGTGTCGTCTACGATCACGTATCCGTTGTCAGAATCAGAAAAGTGACCGCCACATTGAAGTTTTTAGTTAGTTGACCGATTAACTTTAAAATCGATATTTAAGAGTCTGTATGGTTTACAAAAATAAATTCGTTTCCAGAGTTGATAAAAGTGGCTACCATTTTGAAAACTCTTATGATAAGGGAAATACCAGAGACCAATACAAATTTGTTGTCAGAATTACTAATATGACAGTCCATTATGAATTTAATTTCTTGAACAAATTCTTATAAATCTTATATCCAAGAGTCCGTGTCATCTATGTACCTATGTCGACTTTGAAAGCAATTGACAAATCAACAAATAGTTCTAAAAAAGCTGCCATTTTTCGTTCGTAATCAAATTGTCTCCCAGATATCAGGTTTATGAAGAAATCGATTCATGAATTCATTCAATAAACAAAATTTATCAAGATGGCAACCACCGTTTTTCATTGTGACGATGAATCTATATTCAGACCACGTAACTTGCCAGATATTAATTTTAAAAGCGATCAGTCCAGAAACAAAGAATGTCAATATGGCGATATTTTTTTTAATTAAAATTAGATTCGTTTCTTTACATAAGATATACTTTCAGATATCTATTAAGATAACAATCGATCCAAAAGCATGAATAATGAAAACGGCGGTCACGTTATTCTTTACTGACGACTAAAAAAACCCTACTATAACAACAAACAAAGTGTTATTTGAGCATCCTAAAATCTAAATTAATATAAATAAACGTAAATATAAAAAAACTTTCATCATTTACGAAAATTAAGAGTGACTGGACTCCATTGGAACATATTATATAATTAATCTCTAGATCTATATTTACCTGTGTCGCCAGTCTGGATGTTTTACGTCTGACGTAAACGAGATGGTTTGTACCGCCATCTACGAGTATATAAGCGCCAAGAAACTATGGCTACTGCTACATTCCTGCTACTAGTTAGGATGTTGCAGAATGGTAGGTGAAACCGTATGATTACTAGCTTTAAGGCATTCCATCTCAATACGCATGGGTGACAACGCGTCTGTTTGTTTCAAAATTCCTTGTTATTGCCCAGAACTAAAGTATCTATAGCTACTATGGATTTTTGAAAATACTTTGTATTTAATTTTTATTTTATTTTACAGATAAAAAAAATCCTTGTTTAGAACCTCAAACAGTGTAAGTATTTTCAACATATTTTGTTATATATGTATATTGTCTATGTTATGACATTTTTTCTTTCTGAATAGTCATAAGCTCTGATCTGACTCTTTTTCTTATTAGTTATCGGACACCTTTATATGTTTCAACTCAAAGAATTTTTTTAAACCCTCCCACATTGGAATATTCTCCGTTATAATGGAGGCAGTTTACATACATAAAGTGCGCAAGGATAACCATTCAGATCCTCAGCAATAATTTGTAGGCCTGAGTATCTGAGACACCACGCCTGCTAACAACTAAACATGAATAGATATTTAACTGGTCCGTGGCGCTGTGCCTTAGCATTGAATTGCGAAATACTTTTATTATTTCTCAGACATAGAGACCTACCAGGAAAAGCAGGAGAATATAATTAATTAAACAATCTGAAAATGCCGTCATTAAGAAATATGTTATGGGTGCCTGATTGATGAGAAAGTGTATGATAAAAGTTTGTCTTGCAAGAAGATTTTGTAACCACGACTAAAAAAGCGGCCAAGAGCGTGTCGGGCCACGCTCAGTGTAGGGTTCCGTAGTTTCCCGTCCGTCACAATAAGTGTTCCCACTTATGAGTTTAAAGGTGGGTATCCATTATGTCCGCGCTCCTGCAACTGCTCCCGGTAGTGACTACTGTTGTTTCCATCCAAGTTCAAAATAATTTTCCTAGATAGTCCTTATAAAGATCTACTTTTCAGATTTTTTTCACATTTTCTAAATTTATGGTTTAAAAGTTAGAGGGGGGGGCCACATTGTTTTGTACTTTTGGAGCGATTATTTCCGAAATTATTGACATTATCAAAAAATGATTGTAGTAAACCCCTATTCCTTTTTAAATACCTTTCCAACAATACATCACACGTTAGGGTTGAAATTAAAAAAAAATCACTTCCCAATTTACATGTAGGGGGCTACCCTAATAAAACATTTTTTCCAATTGTTATTTTACCACTTTGTCGGCGTGATTGATACACATATTGGTACCAAATTTCAGCTTTCTAGTGCTAACGGTCATAGAGATTAAGCGAGGACGGACAGACGGACAGACAGACATGGCGAAACTATAAGGGTTCCTAGTTGACTACGGAACCCTAAAAAATTATATTGCAGTAGTGAGTGGTATAATCAGTAAGGTCTATACGGTAGTTTAGCGACCAAATGTCGATATTTTGATGAACCAAATTAAGAGTACCCTTAACCGGCGAGCATGAATTTGTAGATATGTAGATATGAAGCGAGAATGTTTTTCAGTATCGTGCCAAATGAAAGTCCGTAGTCTCTGTCTACCTCTCGAAGTGACATGCGGATGAGTTTATATTAATAATCAACCATCATTTAGACATTTTTTCATTTCTTTTTCTTTCTTTTTTTTTGTTATTAGTCAAGCTCAGATGCGACCGCTCGATCGTTGGTCATCACAGATAGAAACTGATGAAATCAAAGGGTATCTGCGGTCACTGTGCCGTAACTGCCAATGCGGTAAGTTAGATAAATTACCAAGAAATTATTCTTTAATTAAGTCTAATTTACTTGTGATACTGTAATCTTCATCATTGTCATCATCATCACCCTATAAAATTCCACTGCTTGACTTGGGCTGACACTTTTAAGTGATATGACGATCTCATGGTAATTACTCTTAAATATTACTTGACGTGATGGTTCCCTTCATTTAGACTTAGATATTATTATAATATAATTATTTTTTAATTTTTGATAATTCTGTTCTATATGTCTTTTTGTCGGTTAGTTATATGGGTGCAATGTGCATGAAATAAAGAGAATTAATTTATTTATTTTTATTTATTAAATTTAATGGACACATACTATCTATCTAACTTCAGATTAAAATGACCACAGCTTTCAAAATTTTCTTAGCTGTAGGCGGTCTATCGACAAGATATCAGGCTTACTCGCAAGAATAGTATTATGCGCGATGTTGGCCTGTCCCAGTAGAACCAGGCGGTTTAATTTTTTCTATAGGAGAAGGGGCAAACGGCCAAACGGCTCACTTGATGGTAAGTGATTACCACCGCCCATGAATATCTGCAACAACAGGAAAATTGCAGATGCGTTGTCTGCCTTTTAAAAAGGAGTAGATTCTTGAAGGTCTGTAAGTCGTATCGGTTCGTAAAAATCTCTGGTGGTAGCCGATTCCACAAGGAAGAAAACTAATAATTATACTAATTATAATACTAATCCCGAACACGACTTCCAGTAAGTACCTACATAATGAGGCAGATTCCGATTTGCAAGATCGTATTTCAGTACGAGCTTCTGATGCAGTGTCCCGGCTACCAGGTTGTGTATGTGCAAATACAGTGCATACAATTCAAGTCCTCTGGAGTCATCTGTTAGAAATAAAATACAATGTATCTCAATTTATGCCGAATAACAAGAACCGAGCCTCAATAAACGGCGATAAGTCAACAATGGGTATAAAAACCACTTAGTAAGGCCTTCTAAGGCCATATACTGTCCAAGGCTTTGGAGCTTACCATATTTGAGCTGCGTTGAAGCAGACGTATTGAACGCACACTCTTGTACTACAATGTTTAAACTGTCGGAAGCTTGAATTCTATGAAGCACGGTTATTAATGAAAAATAAATGCTTATTATGTTTACAGGCAAAACCTTTTATCCGGATCCACAATGTGCGTAAGTAAACTTATGTTTATTTATGTTTTATAAACAATAATTTATTAAGGTATGTGAGAGTAGAGAGAAGGACAGAGATAAAAACACAAAGTCGTATACTATAACTAATATACTAAGAAGAAAAATAGCAAACAAGCTTTGGCAACAATTAGGAACACATTGAAAAATCAACTTAAAAAAACTAGCTACACTACACCATATTAAAACGACTAAAATATACTATAATATCAAATGTCAAAATAGAGTCGAGAAATAGTTCGCCCTTTAGACCCTTCAGTATAGTATTGACCGAAGAACACTTAAAAAAACTAGCTACACTACGCCATATCAAATCGACTAAAATATACTATAATATCAACTGTCAAAATAGATTCGAGAAAGAGTTCGCCCTTTAGACCCTTCAGCATAGTATTGACCGAAGAAGACTTAAAAAAACTAGCTACACTACACCATATCAAATCGGCTAAAATATACTATAATATCAACTGTCAAAATAGAGTCGAGAAAGAGTTCGCCCTTTAGACCCTTCAGTATAGTATTGACCGAAGAAGACTTAAAAAAAACTAGCTACACTACAACATATCAAATCGACTAAAATATACTATAATATCAACTGTCAAAATAGAGTCGAGAAATAGTTCGCCCTTTAGACCCTTCAGTATAGTATTGACCGAAGAAGACTTAAAAAAACTAGCTACACTACACCATATCAAATCGACTAAAATATATTATAATATCAACTGTCAAAATAGAGTCGAGAAATAGTTCGCCCTTTAGACCCTTCAGTATAGTATTGACCGAAGAAGACTTAAAAAAACTAGCTACACTACACCATATCAAATCGACTAAAATATACTATAATATCAACTGTCAAAATAGAGTCGAGAAAGAGTTCGCCCTTTAGACCCTTCAGTATAGTATTGACCGAAGAAGACTTAAAAAAACTAGCTACATTACACCATATCAAATCGACTAAAATATACTATAATATCAACTGTCAAAATAGAGTCGAGAAAGAGTTCGCCCTTTAGACCCTTCAGTATAGTATTGACCGAAGAAGACTTAAAAAAACTAGCTACACTACACCATATCAAATCGACTAAAATATACTATAATATCAACTGTCAAAATAGAGTCGAGAAAGAGTTCGCCCTTTAGACCCTTCAGTATAGTATTGACCGAAGAAGACTTAAAAAAACTAGCTACACTACACCATATCAAATCGACTAAAATATACTATAATATCAACTGTCAAAATAGAGTCGAGAAAGAGTTCGCCCTTTAGACCCTTCAGTATAGTATTGACCGAAGAAGACTTAAAAAAACTAGCTACACTACACCATATCAAATCGACTAAAATATACTATAATATCAACTGTCAAAATAGAGTCGAGAAATAGTTCGCCCTTTAGACCCTTCAGTATAGTATTGACCGAAGAAGACTTAAAAAAACTAGCTACACTACACCATATCAAATCGACTAAAATATACTATAATATCAAATGTCAAAATAGAGTCGAGAAATAGTTCGCCCTTTAGACCCTTCAGTATAGTATTGACCGAAGAAGAGCTATCACAAAGATATCTATGTAAACAGGGCCGTAGTTTTTAAGATACAAGAAAATGACCACATATTACCTTCACGTAATATATTAAATGAAATGTCATTATAATAAAATGTCGTATATAAAATACTCAAAACTTACGTAATCTGGTTTTTTTAATCCTTATAGGTGTCGAACTTTTTGTATAAACCGACTTATTTAAAAAATGCAAAGCACAAGATGCTGTCAGGTAGCCAACCTTTTAAGCTGAAGTGAGCGCCAAAAGCAGATTTTTCGCGCTTTATATGGAGTGTTTGGTCGGTTGTGCTATGTAATCGCACAATATTTATTTGATATTTCTTTTTAAAATGATATATACACTTTTATTGAAAAATAATTCACTCACGTATAGTTACTAGTGAACACATAGTCTGTATTTAATTGAAATTGATTTCATTACATTCGAATGAAACTGCTTTTTCACTTAGTGGACGTACCTAAAATTGTAGATTTTGAGGAAACTTTGCGATCTTTTTCTATCGCGCCAAAATGTGTCAATCGTGTTTTGGCCACCGTATTTCGCTAAATATAAATCATATATATTCATAAATCTTTAACTTTCATAATGAATTTAAAAAAAAATGTGAATTCGTAGTTTTTAATGACAATAAATTGCACATTTAAAGCATGAAAAATCTGCTTTTGGCGCCCACATCACCTTAAGTGAATGTAATGTCACGTAGGTGCCATTATTATCAACTAACTGATACCCGCGACTTCGTCCGCGTTAGTTATTGAAACTAATAACTTTATATTAAATGAAGACATCGCAATAATTTATTTTCGATAAATGCCAAGTGTCTAAGAAATAAAACTTAGAAAACCTAATTGAAATATATCCAGTAGTTTTTTTTTTTTGTAACGCTCGCACAACTACAAACCTCTATCATTTTATTATAGATTTTGAGTTTAGTCACAATTGTGACTTAACAATACGAAACAGCAGTGCATAGAATAGAATTTTGTCACATGTTGGCACTCAACAGTAGGTTCAAATTTTTTGTGAATTATGTAGAAACTGAGTTAATAATTGCGAGACTATCGAACAAGATCCGATTTTATAATCCGTCCTTCTTATTGGCTTTATTAGACGTACAACAAATTTCTTTATATTGTAATCGAAAACACTGTAGTCAAGGGAAATAACCCGAACCGATCCGTCCATCCATTACAGCCTATAGAAGTCCCCTGCTGTACATAGGCCTCCTGCATAGATTGCCGGGAAGATGCTGCTGCCCATCTGACGTTTAGAATTTTTAGAATTTTTTAGAATTTTTTATTTATTTGTCAGAATAAGGTAATACACAATAGTCTTAAATCTAATACAGAAGTTCACTTATTCTGCCTCTTTTATAGGCGTACAAATATTAAATCGTCTTAATTTAATTTCGACATAAAATTTTAATACAAAACTATAAAAAATTAATTATGGATAAATGTTATACAAATTGTCATAAATGTGTCAAAGAGAAAATCAGTAATAATACATGTCATCGTCAAATTGCTATATATGTCCACCCATATTTACTATTATAATTATATTAATTAAATAATAATTTTACAAACAAAATTAGTTATTGAAATATTCAGAAAGACTATAAAAACACTTGCTGAGAAGCTATTCTATCAACTTTCGTTTAAACGTTTGAGTTGTTTCATTCTTTATTGTGCCTGGCAGACGATTGTATACGGATTGCCATGTAGAAAGCATTCCTGTTAAAGAATGAGGTGCCTGATTTAGGCAAGAATAATTTATTTTTGTTCCTAGTATGCCTCTGTGTTACATCAGACTGTTTTATAAATAAATTTAAATTTTGTCTTACAAACAAACAGATATCCCTCACATACATACACGGTAAGGGAAGAATGTTTAATTTCTTAAAATCTCACACAACTCTCACAGTACCCCAAATTGCATACAGCGCGAATACATTTTTTTTGTACTACAAATGCTTTCTGGCTATCGGTAGAGTTACCCCATAACAATAACCCGTAGCTTAGAACTGAGGAAACATAACCATGATATGCACATAGAGCTGCCTCTCGCGACACTGTTCTCCGTAATCGTCTTAGAGCATAAACAAATCGGTCTAATTTCTTACAAATTTTAAAAATGTGCTCCTTCCAATTGCATTGTTCATCAAGTGTGATACCCAAATTTTTTGTCGGTTTCCCTTTGTCGCCTCTCACGAAACCCACCGGACGATAATGTGATATGACGTAGCGAACATTCTTACACCGCTACTACACGGTTTAATAACTCGATATATTGTGATTATATGTAGATAAGTACAATTTTTAACTTCTCGCTAAAAAAATCAAAAATTTTAAAAAATTGGGAAGTTATCGTTTTTACCCCATTTTTCAAAAATTGAGTTTTCATCAGATCTTGGCGTTTTGAGATCACTAGAAGCCACCCTCAGCCCCCAATTTTTCCATGGTGTCTGTATGTATGTGTGTGGGGGGGGGGGGGGATTTACGTAAATCTCTAACTTTTGAACGGCTTGACCGATTGAATTTATCTAAGTGGATTTCCAAAGTATTTTATCAAACTTAGATTTCCTACGAATTTTAACTAATTCGGACCGGTAGGTTTAGAGAAATCTCAAAAATAAAAATTTTGAAAAATGTTTTTTTGGAATAACTTTGAAACGGCTTTACCGATCTAAAAACTACACCTTATAACCGTGAAAAACCACCTCGATCGCCGCTGATCTGGTCAAAATCGGTTGATTCGTTCGTGAGTATCGTTAACGAAAAATTATGAAAAATTGATTTTTTTTAAATATTCCGACATTTCATATTCAACGTTATAATTTGGTGAAATTTGGAGCACTTTGCATTTGAAATTAGCGAGAAGTTCCAGGGATGGCCTACCAACTTTTAAATAACTTACATTTTGAATTTTTTAGCACACCGCAAAGGCAATCTTCCAATCTGTGGTCATCACAGAATCAATGCAACGATTTGAGGGGCTACTTGCAGTCGACATGGCGCAATTGTCAATGTTGTGAGTATACATACATTTGGTTCTAAAGAAAATTTTGGTTTGCCGCTTTTTATAGGGCAAACGAGCACACAGTCCACCTCATAGAATACTATAATACACAATAGATTGGCTGTCAACTTTATTTTGTGTACGAGGATTGGCGTCGCCAAACCCGATTCGCTGTGTTGACAGACTGAGTAAATTTACACATTTTAGACTTTTGATTAATGTTCAAGGTCATCATTAAAAAAATCGTTTAAATTTTAATACATATTTATTTCTAAATACGGTGCTATTTGGTAATAAATAATTTGGCATTTTATAAATAATTGTACACATCTCGTGTTGACATTTATACGTGTTAACTAACGTGTTAGTGACATTTTAGTGGCTACGCGGGCTCCGCTCACTCCCCCGTTCTATTATGTATGTATTTATAGTATTCTATGGTCCACCTGAAGGTAAGTGGCTACTGTGGCCCATAGACATCTACATATATCCTCGATTACGAATCAAAATGCAGATGCGTTGTCACCAGTGAGGACTAAGATTGAATGTCTCGTTTCCAGTAAAAGGGTTTCCTGTTCTCTACACTCACCATACGCAACACAACAGCATTAAACTACTATTTTACGCTGGTATTCCGTGAAAGCTTGGTCCTTCTCGGGTCGGACCGACCCATTCGTGCTACAATTATATGTTACTACTAATATAACTGCAGCATGGCTTTACCACGTTTAAAGTATATTACTGATGAGAAATTTTTGAAATAAATCATATTATCTACTATTTTTTATATAATTATGGTGGCGGACGAGTGCACAGTTCACCTGATGGTAAGTGGATGCTGTGGATTATAGACACCTACTTCTGTCACATAATCTACATCTGCATTGATTTAGAAACAAAATGCAAACGCAGATACGTTGTTACCCCTGAAGACTAATATGGTGTGCCTCGTTACCAGTAAAATGGGTCCCCAGTTTTCTACATTCACCATACGAAACATAGCAACATTTAGCTGTCATTTTACACTGGTATTCCGTGAGAGCTTAGTTGTTTCCCGGTTGGGCTGACCACTTCCTTTTACAACCATAATATAGCTAGAGCATGACTCTAGCACGTATATACGATGTCTATAATTTTCTTGAAATTGCTAGGGCCTGGTGGTGCTTCAATCAGGAGTATACCGCGTGCAAGTAAACCAGATATTTGTAGAAAAAATGGGTGGAAAGTGTCTACTGCTGGACATAGGATTCCCTTGCGAATTGCCTCACATTTTCCACTCTTGGCAGGCAAATCGGCAATCACGATGTCAAAAAACTCATGTTGAATTTTTTTAATTTAAACTAATTTTATTGGATGTGGGTGTTAAGAACAATGCCTCTCGTAGTAGAGTCGTGTTAAACGCAACATTTTGAAGCAATGGCATAACTATTTTAGCTTTGTAATGGCCAAGTTTGACATTTTGACATTCATAACTTTGCCTCTTAATGTCGATCACTCACTTGCTTAGACTCTGCTGGGCTAAGTCCGCGTGAATTTGGACAAATTTGGCAAACACATAAACAAAAATATTTACAATGTTATCTATCTAGCAGCCGTATACTTTATAAGTGAAGAAACCCATCAAATAAATGATCTCAAATAAAAATTATTTTTAAGCCATTTATTTACTCGTATTATGCTTGGTTTTTTTTCACTTGGTTCCCAAATTTACTTAAGTGTAACGCAGTTTCGTTTTTTATTTTTGTTAAATAACAAACTGTTAAATAAAAATAAATATTGTGCTAAAAAATTTTACGTAGAAAATAACAAAACTCTATTTCGATAATAACGGTTAAAATGGGTCTCTTATATAACCAGGGAGAATTTGTTGTAATCTTAACCTCTGTACAGGTGGATGGGCAATCATCCCCGTCGCCAGTTTAGCTATTTAAGGTCCAGCTTTAGTAATGATAAAAAAATTATATATCAGTTTGTACTAAGTTATTCAATGTTATATATTTTTTGCTTTATTTTCCAGCCAAAAGTAGACCCTGCGAAGAAACTGTTAATATGAGGTGAGTGTCCTATCAATGTTTATGGAGTAAGAGTGACAAACGAGCAACACAGTCCACATGATGTGAATGCTGCCACAAGTAAGAAGATGTAGTGGTTCAGAAACATCTACATCTATTCTCAGTTAAGAATCAAAATGATGATTAATGCGTTTTCACCTCTGAGGACTAAAAAGGAATGCCTCGTTTCCAGTAAAAAGGTTCTCCGGTTCTCTGCACTCAGCATACGAAACACAACAGCAAAAAGTTTCTACAATACGTTGGTATTCCTTAGAGGCCGACCACCGTTTATAGCAACAGACGAGATAAAATGACCCCCATAAAAAAAAGAAAAAAAAAACAAAAACACCACCCCAAAACACAACAAACAAAGAAAAATAAAAAAAGAAGACTACAGCAAAAACCGTTAGAGAGTAGAAATAAAAAATTAACGGAGATGGTCCTTTCCCGGTCGAGTTGACCGCTTACGGCTACAACTATAGTATAGCTGCAACATGGCTCTATCACATATATACCACGTCCACGTATTTTATTGAAAGTACGATCATTAAGTGACCCGCGATGTTGTTAGTTTGTTATTGCTGTCGTTGGTATGACAACTATACGCCTCTTTTAAAAATTTATATTAACAATAATACTACCCCGGAATTAACCCCCACCCAAATGAAAGCTTTAAAGAATTTATTAAAATTATACATTAAGCCACAGTTTGGTCACAAAATTTAACTTTTAAAAGACGTATAAGATGATTTCAAAGAACTAAAATATAAATAATTTTCACATATTAGCTCTGAGGTCAGTGATAAGACATAGTATATAAATGAATTAAGGTCAATTTTGAACACTACAATGAGGAACATATTTTATTATTTTTAGTGTTTTGAAAGTCAACTTGTACTCTTTATCAAAAGTTTTTTTAAACCTTTTGCCATAGACTAAGGAGACATTCTTAATACATCATATGGGATGATATAAATTTTTTCAAATTTATATGGGACCCCCCTGAAGGATTAATATAAAAATTCATTAAAGTTAAAGTTACAGTTATATACATCCCACTCATGGGCACAGGCCTCCCCTCATTTCTGAGACGGTTTCAGGGCAAGGAAGTGTCCGCCGCGCTGCCCCAATGCGTGTTGGCGAACTTCACATGTCTTTGAAATATATTTTTTTCTTATTTCTCAGGTAAATCAGCACTTAAAATTGCAATTAACAATTTCATTGGGGCCGGCGGGGATCGAATCCGGTTTGTTCGCGTATTATGAAATTTACAGCGAGCGCTAACCATCTGAGCTACAACGGCTCTTTGCTAATAAAAATTATTTGCTGACCGCTGGCTGATCTTGCTAAAACTAGAAAACAGCTCGACTGATTTTGATGAATTTTTTGTGTGTGTTTGAGTTGGTCCCTGAATGATTTTTGACAATTGGACTCTGTAGGTGGCGCTGCTGTTGAGATCCAGTACTCAGTCGTGCTAAGCCGAGGCGGACCGCGAGTATTTTGAGATAAATAATCTTTAAACATTTAAAATCGGTTCACAATCAACAAAGTTATCGCGTAATATGTACGAAAAATATAGAATTAATAGAGAGCTTCCTCCTTGAAGTCGGCTTAAAAGCACCACCCACAAACTCAGGAGAGGCACACACGTGTGCCCGTTATAAATACCTTACGCCCGCTCGGGAGAGGCACACACGTGTGCCCGTTATAAATACCTTACGCCCGCTCGGGAGAGGCACACATGTGTGCCTCAAGTGGTCAACGACCCTATGAAAAAAGGATGTCTATTATAAACTTTAACAAAGATATAGGTACTGCAGTGTATAATACAGACAAATTCAAAGATATACTCTTTTATTTTACACCATAATCTGTTAATGTCACCTAAAAAATGAAATAAAAAATTCATTCTGTAGTAACGGTTATTCACAACGCTAGTGCGCGAACTAGTGCTTAGTAATTTCTACGTTTTTCTGGGTGTTCTTGTAATAAAAAGGTAAATATTATACTTTATTGTATTCCCTGTAATATAACAAACACGTAGATATATAATTTGTGCCATAAAAAGTGTAAAGTAAGCGCAAAAATTCTTCGAAATCGAAAAGTTCCGTTTTCGTGGTCGGGAAAAAATGTTTTATTTTTCCATTCTCATTTATTTTTAGTGGAAAATGTAATTATAAAAAATAATTTTATAACATATTTCAAATAACTTGGCGTTCTATTTGTTTCAAATAAATACAAAAAATTAGAGAAATATTGTTTCAAATTTCATACAAAAAAAATGAATTTCGATTTTCTTTATGAGTAACGAATAAAACATAAAAATATACATATTTCCAAACATTTTGATATAGATTTCTCAAAAACAAATGTGTATAAATTGTATTTTCGTGACTAAAAGTAAAGTATCTACTACTAAGTACTATACTTTGACAGTGATTTATGAATTTTTTATATTTATAACTTCTAAAAACTATTTAATTCGATAGTTTGTACACTCAAGAAGAATTCCTGTAAGTTTTATCCATAAATATTGTCTGAAAGTGAAAATGTAGGAAAATTTGCAAGTTTGCAAAATTTGCATTTGCAATTTCCGCGGCCGCGAGCGAACAAGAGTGTCAAATTACGTGACCTTGCGAGCTAACGGAATTCGTTAAGACACAATATTTCGTGGTAGAGCCACACTGCGGCTGTATTGTGACTACACGAATATTTCGGCACGAGCAGGGAAGGACCACGCTCTCAGAATATATCTACTGCGTTTCGCATTGTGAGTGACGCGCAGTGAAGACCTTTTTAACGAGTAACGCGACCTATCTATCTTAGTCCTCAGGAGTAAAACGTATTTCTAATTGATTTTCAATAAAGGATAAATTTAGATACACTTAAGTCACAGCATACTCTTTTCATAAGCTGTGTGCTCGTTTACCACTCTCGCTCGTCATGAAAACATTCTCCAAAAGATAGTTTGATAAATTGGATTATTTGAGTACATCTATCAATTGTTTAACTTTTAATTCTTTAACCAGTTGCGGAATAATAAAATAAAAAAAAATACGTGTGGCACTCGGTGACTGCCGCGGTAAAGCTATTGCATAGCATTTTTTACCAACTTATGCAATTATAATTATTCATTCATTTTATTTATGCAGTTAAGTCATTGATATTAAATCAAGTTACACTTTTTGAGCGTGGTGACCGATAAGAAAACAATTTTTTTTCTCTTATTGAATAAATGAGAAGTTAATATTGTTTAAAATATTTTTAATATCATACAATACATGTAGGTTATTCAGGATTTTTTATCATTGAGTTACCAACTAGTGTACACGCATACGTCTAGTCGTACGCACACAAACACCGTGCCGAAGTCTGCCGAGTGCCGAAGTCTGACGAACTGAAACGACGTTAGACGATGCACGGCTTTCAACGCCACGGCCACCGTGGCCGTCGGAGTGGGGAGCGTGAGGTTTTTTCGTTACGGAATTTCTGAATTCGGTCCCCGCGCTCAAGGCCCGCGATAGAAGCTATGCAATAGCTTAAAACAGAGGATGTTGAAGTCACGAGTAAATTGTTTAACTTTAATTTCGTTAACCAGTCGCGGAATAATAAAATAAAACAGAAGATGTTGAAGTCACGAGTAACTCTGTTATCTATTGTTTAAAAATGCGTTCTGATTAGAATGTTGAGTAAAAATTTACATCCTGTTATCTATAGCTTAAAATAAATTCACTGGATGATAGATTTTCTTTGCTATTTAGGGATTCTGGGAATATCTTATCTATTTTTGTTACAAGCAGTTGTTATATCCCCGTTGTGCATCCACTCTTGCCTTCCAGTTTGAAGATTACAGAGTTTTTATATAACTTACGTTTGTGAGTCATTCCACTTTAGTCCTCAGATCTACCGACGCACTCTTAAACTTATTTGTTTGTAGTTGCATGTTAGGTAGGCTGCAGTGGCTAATTATCATCACGTGGATTGGTGTTCGTTTCGTTCGTTATGAAGCTTTAGGCTAAATAAAATAAATAGTCACACATAAATTTGCTTCTAGTGGCACGGTACCACCTACACAGACGCAAGTGATCCAAAACTGGCCGACACAGGTCGCATCTGAGGACATCAAGCCCAGCATGCTATCAAATTGCAAGAACTGTCAATGTGGTATGTGAAACTAATACATGTTTTCCTCAGTAACAGTAACAGTCAACTACTAGTCAAGGGGTAAAATTACTACGCTGTTGAATGACGATTGCATTATCAAACGTATCGTTCATCAATCAACAATCGTATTATCAAACTCTTAGACTCCGTTCCTCTGTATCCGTGGTAGAGCCATGCTACAGCTTACTAACATATTAGTAGTATAATAGTAGCACTAATGAGTCGGCTCGACCGGGGAAGGACCACGCCTCCACAGAATACCAGCGTAAAACAGCAGCTTAACGCTGCTATGTTCCTGTAGCGAGTGTAGAGAACCAAATACCCATTTTACGGGAAACGAGGCCTTCCATCTTAGTCCTCAGGGGTGACAACGCTTCTGCATTTTGATTTGTAATTGAGAATAGATGTAGATGTCTATTGATGCCAGAAACCACTTACCATCAGGTGGACTGTGTGCTCGTTTGTCACGGTTATCCGGTAAAAGAAATCTGGTCGGATTGTTGTAAGGCTGTTTTAAAAATGGCGTAATTTGTCGACGAAATTGTACAGTATTTATAATATATAATAGTTTTCATTGTTAACTGTATTGACTTTCGCCGTTTTCACATGGCAACAGTTTTATGATACTTCTTCTTTCTTTATTGGTTCGTAAAAATAAATTAAGATAAAATCATCTTTTCATGTAACTTCTAGATGAACGTGGGGACTACCGCTAGCGTATGATTACCACCAATTAATAACTTGTTTTTTTCTTATTTCAGTAAGAAGAAAACTTTTTCTTGGAAGCAATTCAGTGTAAGTATTTATAAGGGCATGAGCTCTTACTCTTACAACCTTAGATTTCGCTATGTATATTTTTATAGGAGAGAGGGCAAACGAGCCACCAAGGGAATTGCAGGTGCGTTACCTGCCTTTTACAAAGGAATAAGCGCTTTTTTTTGAAGGTCCCTAAGTCGTATCGGTCTAGCAAATTGGACGCCGGTCTGAAATTTGGTGGCTGGGATTAATTCGAACAATTCCTCAGAACAATTCCCGTGATAGATGTAAAAGAAAATGCAACGGGATGCATCTTCTCTTTACAGCGCCAGTGAATCGAGCCGATCGGAAAGCACTCGGTCATCAACGATTCCTGTCGCTCTGCGCTGGGTGCAATCAACTGGAAGGAGCTGGCACTGGGGAGCCCCAGCTCAGAGGTGGTAACAGTATTCCATCTGAAGCCGAACCAGCGCTTTGTAAAGTTACAGGCGGTGTGCCGGCATGAAATACTGTCCCACTCTGCTAAGCACGCCAAGCATGTTAGAGATTAATTTGGCCTTCTATTTTAAATAACCACGAAACTGCACATCGCTCGATATGTCGACGCTAAGGATTCCGATACTGGCTGAGACAACAAGGGGAATGCCTTGAAACTGAGGAGATACGACAAAGTAGTTCTTTTTAGCGGTAAATGCGCAAACTTGTATCTTCTGAGGATCGAACTGGATTAGATTTAGTCGCCCCCAGCCCGAAACATTGTTCAACAAAGTCTCGACTTCAGACACAAGTTTGTCACTTTACTCGGCGACGTTTTCCCGCTAAATATTAGCACCGCTAGTGTAGAAAGCATCACCAGTGTCGTCTACATAGCAATGAATGCTACCAGGGTGCAACATATCATTATATGTTGAAGAAACAGCGTTGGTGATAGCACGCAGCCTTGTGGAAAGCCAGCATTAATAGGCTTGTAATCGAAGCATGCACCGTCTACAACGACTTTGATGCTCCAATCTGCAAGAAAGCTGGTGATCCAATTGCGCAGTTTCTCGGGAAGCCCATAGGAAGGGAGCTTCGAAAGAAACACTTGTGCCAAAGCCCATCGAAGGCCTTTGCAATGTCAAAATTAACGGCCAATAGAGGCAGTAAAGTCCAAGGGGGAGGCCTTGGACTTTACTGCCTCCGCCTATTTATGGGTGCGTTTGGCAGAAAAAAGCGCTAGCAAGCGCTTGTAAGCAAAATGGCGATCGTAAGCGGTAAGCGCTGTCAAATCGTAAGCAGCTATTTTCCTCCAGGACACGATGTTAGTTTTAACCGGGGAACTTAACCTAATTTAAACATATGTTTGTAAAGTATTCATATTAAAAACTTACCAATCATGAATTTTTAATAACATGTATATGTTTATTCAGTCATTATATTACTTAAAACTAAAATATTGCACAAAACAACTTATAAACTCTACTTCAAAACAAACAAATTAAATAAGCAAAATGGCGGATTGTGTCAGCGCTACTGAAGTAGCAATCGTGTCCTGGCTGAAAACTATTTCAGCGCTTGTAAGCGCTTGCTAGCGCTTTTTTCTGCCAAACGCACCCTATGAGTCAGGTAGACCAGAAGATCTCCTGCTGATCGACGCCGACGAAAACCGTATTGGCGGTCACTAATCAGCTGTTGATCCTCAAGGTACCGCATGAGCTGGCTGTTAATAATAGATTCCATTATTTTAGAGAACAAGAAGGTGATGGCGATAGGCCTATAGTTGGACGGATCAGAGCGGTTACCTTTTTTTTTAAATAAATCAAAGTATTTGATAAGCCTGCAGTGATTTCTTTCATATATATGTTAACGCTGAAGTGCATAAACAGTGTAACTTATTTAGTATTATTAACTAGTAATTACTATATATTAACTAGGTAATATACAGAATAACGACTAAACATTCGTTTAAGGGAATAAAGTTGATTTTTTGCTTGAAAATTTGCAAATTCATTGTCAAATTCAAATAAAACTTGGTTTTTACTAACGTTCTTAGTCAAAATTTGTTTTATCTGAATTAAAGTTCAGACTATCGTCAAACATAGCCGCAATATCAGTAACAGTAGGTTAAGTTGCGGCTGAGGGCTACTAAAAAATTGAACTTTTTAATTTCACAAATTCAATAAATATATATACTAATATTCACACAATTTAGTATCTAGATAACAAATATTAAGTCAAAGCTCAAATTGATATAATAAATATTGTTGTAACCTTCTCAATAGGTTGGAGTCGAACAATCCTCTGAAAAATCAACAAGAAGATCTAGCTCGGCCTCTGAACTCAGATACGCTGGGCGATATATGTCCGAATAAAGAATGCGGTAAGATTTTTCTCAATACAAATAAAAAAACAGGCATAACTTTTTTATTACTTTACTGCTATTAGCTGTTTTAGTACCCTGCTAGATAAAGACTATTTTAAGAATGCACATCTGATTTTTTTCTTAAACAAGTGGCAAACGAACTTACAGTCCACCTGATGGTATGTTGGAACTGCTGTTCATGGGTAGCAGTAACCAGCACTAAACGAAAATTTTTACAAATAAGTGGCTACCTGTATCTAAAGACTTCCTCATTTGGTGACGACATATTATTTGCATTGTTATTGATAAATTATCCTTTCATATAAGCCAGACCTAATAAAACAACACCAACTCCACTCAAAATAAAATTTTGTCAGGTGTTTTCATTAAGTGAAATAAGAGATCTACGCGTCGTTCACTAAATAATAATTGTAATTTTAGTAACTGTTTTTCGATTATCTGCATGTGACTTATAGCCAAGCCCTCATAACAATGTTTTACTTTAAGTGGAGTTGATGTTGAGGCGTTAGGCCGCGTTTCCACAAGAGCTATGCGAGGTAGCTCAGCTGAGCGCGAGTAAAAAATCCACCAATAAGATCATTTAATTTTCCTAGCCTCATTTAGCGCATCCGCGTGACAAAGGTTTTCACAAAGCGAATTGTTTAAATAAATAAAACATGCGAAAGATGTGTGTGAGTGACACAAACGAACAGGTGTGAGAGAAAAGTTTGCGAAGCCTTGTGGTTAGTGAGGCTACTAGTCTAACCATCAAGATAGTAAAGCGAAATTTAAAGCAAAAACTCAAAGCTTAATAAAAAGTAATAACCAACTTTAAAGAACTATAAACAAATGACATAACATCTTCAGAAGTCGTCGCTAAGACATAGTGTATTTAAAAGATATAAAGATTAAGACACATAAATCTAATGTAAATAATATGTATACATTATATAACGTGTGTTATACATTAGATTTATGTGATGTTATGGTGTTAGGTTTATGTTCTTATTTACTTCTAAATGTGTATTTTGTGAGTACGAGGGTGGATTGAAAAGTACTCGGCCTAACCAAGAAAATAAACACATACTAAATCAGTTATATTTTTATTTTTCTACATAATCACCATCAAGTTCAATACACTTTTGCCACCTCTCCTTCCAAGCATTTAGACCGTTGAAAAAAAAATGATTCTTCCTTATAGTCAAAATATGCGTCTACAGCTGCTTTGACCTCGTCGTTTGTCGAAAATCTTTGACCTCCCAAGTGCTTTTTTAGGTTAGGGAACAGAAAGAAGTCTGATGGTGCCAGATCAGGTGAATACGGCGGATGCGGTAACAGTTCAAAGCCACAGTTGTGAATTTCAGCCATTGACTGTACTTACGTGTGAACACGGGCGTTATCTTGATGAAACAGGACTTTTCTTCTGAGCATTCCTCGACGTTTTTCTTTTATTTCCTCTCGTAAACGACGTAGTAAGGTGCAGTAGTAATCAGAGTTTATAGTCTGACCCCTTTCAAGATAATCAATCATAATCACACCTTTCGAGTCCCAGAATACTGAAGCCATCACCTTATTTGCCGACAAAATCGACTTAGCCTTTTTTAGGGGGTGGTGAACCAGGTCTTCTCCACTGTTTTGATTGTTGTTTTGTTTTCGGTGTACAGTAATGAACCCATTTTTCGTCCATAGTAACAAAACGATTCAAAAAATCATCTGCATCGGCTTCAAATAACTCCAAACAGTCGCGTGAAATAGTCAATCGCGTCCTTTTTTGTTCAACTGAAAGCAGTCGCGGAACCCACCTCGCAGACACCTTGTGGAAACCCAACTCGTTGACAATGATGTTTTGAGTTTGTTCATAAGAGATGCCTATAATCTCGGCTATCTCTCTAATTTTTAATCTGCGGTCTCCCATTATTAAATCAAGTACTTTTTTAATATTTTCGTCAGTAGTTGACGTCGAAGGCCTTCCAGAGCGGGGTTCATCTTTCACACTCTCTCTACCACGCTTAAATTCTGCTATCCATTTTTTGACGGATGAATATGACAGAGCACAATCGCCTAATGTACTGACCATGTCATCATGGATGGCTTTTGATGATAGCCCCTTCTTATGGAGGTACTTAATGACGGCACGCTGCTCGATTTGCTCCATTCGCGGAAATTATGTCCGATTACTTTGTTAATAAATTTATAAAATCACAACTAATTATCGCACACGTTTCGAACTTCACACAATGAACTAGTCTGAACTGAACTAAATAATGTGGGTAGATTTGATTTTTAGAATTGAATGGATCTGTGTTAGGCCGAGTACTTTTCAATCCACCCTCGTATATTGATGCTAATATAACCTATGTCTATGGCGTACTTTACACGCTCATGCAGGCGTTAATCAATTCCATCAATCATGATTGATAAAAAACGGATGGTGACTGATAAGCGTACACTATACGCTCATGCAGGCTGTTAGTTTTACAACAGTCACGGTTGTGATTTACGAATAACCGACCGTGTAATGCAGTAATTGACGCATACATGTGCGCGTAATGTAAGCCCATCTGTCACTATCCGTTTTTTATCAATCATGATTGATGGAATTGATTGACGCCTGAATGAGCGTCTAATGTACCCTATCAGTCACTATCCGTTTTTTATCAATCATGATTGATGGAATTGATTGACGCGTGATTGAGACGTCCATCACTGCATTACACGGTAGGTTATTCGTCAATCACAACCGTAATTGTTGTAAAACTGGCAGCCTGCATGAGCGTGTAATGTACGCCTATGTCTATAATTATTTCAATGTTGTCAAAATCGTTACGCTAAAAAGAGATATTGTCCAAATTTATATGAGACCAACCCTAAAGTGTAAGCAAGAAAACAATCATTAAAATCGGTTCACTAGAATACGCCACGCGGCTTCGCAACTCTCAGCTTCCTCGTAAAGCTTTGATGGTTAGAGCCACACTGTTTAACAGCCTCGCTACGCCTTCTCGCACCGCTCAGTTTCCTCGCGCAACTCAAATGGATACGCAGCCTTATAGCATGCGTCGAACCTAAAACACGAGGCATCTAAAACTGCGATCACCTTTCACATCCTAAATGCAATGTTAAGACCCAGTGAAATTAAAAGTATAATTTGTTAAATTTGTCTCATAATTAATAACTACTTATTCGATAGCATGGACTTGACGATGTTTTATTTTTGTCTACAGCTGGCAGCAAACCCTTTCAAGAATCGTCACCCATGTAAGTGTTAACTAGTAAATTTTATTGACCAATATTCGTAACGTTTTTATTATTACGACATTAACTTAACCTGTCTTCCATTGCGAACTAAGGAAAATTATTTTATAAAAATTAAATTTCCACTATAAGCTATTATTTATTTGGTGCTGTGAGGAATGTTTCGTTTGATCATTGTGAAAAGTGTATTTTGTTCGATTTCATTATGAAAATTGCAATTAAATATGTATATGTAGTCACCTATTTCCTTGGCAAATTTCTTAAGTGGCAGTAGTAATCTCTCCACTAACGACTCTGTCAACTGAACAGTAAAGTTATTGGCACTGTAAAATGCCTATAATTTTTTATAGGATAGTGTGACAAACCAGCACACAGGACACGTGATGGTAAGTGGTTGCTGTGTTCCATAGACATCTACATCTATCCTCGGTTACGAATCAAAATGCAGATGCGTTGTCACACGTGAGAACTAAGATGGATGCCTCGTTTCCAGTAAAAAGGGTCTCCGGTTCTCTACACTCAGCATACGAAACACAGCAGCATTAAACTTCTATTTGACGATGGTTTTCTATGTGAGCGTGGTCCTTGCCCGGTCGAGCCGACCCATTCGTGCTAAAATTGTACTAATAATATAATTGCAGTATGGCTCTACCGCGTATAAATAAAAAATGTCCGTTATATCGAAGTAATTATTTTTTTTAATTTAGCTTAGAGGGTTATTTGCAGTGATGAATAATAATTTTTAAATGTTTTGTCTGTGTACTTGACCGGGCTAATCTTTGAAATGGCACAACAGATTATAATGACACTTGACGAACGGACATAGAGCAATGCCAGAAACGTCATAGACTATATTTTATCCGAGAAACTTGATTGTAAACAAAAAAAAACTACACCATATTAATAGATTCCATTCAAGTGAAGCCGAGGCGGGTCACTACTACGCATATTATTTACATTTATAATATTTGCTTTATATTTAATATAACGTAATAATAAATAATTATATAATCTTGTTTACAGAAACAATCACATTTCACCGAAATTACCATTCGAAGTTTGTCAAAACCCTGAATGCAGTACGTTTTTTTAATCATTAAATTAATTTCGTCTCATATTTATTGCATAATCAAAGCTACTCCCAACTTATTTGGTTAGCCGGCCCACACTTGCCTCTTGCTACGTAGTAGCACAGTCTAACTACCACAATAGGCAGTCATCGAAGGCGTCTAGACGGTGCAATCGTACAGTGCGGGGCGAGACATGGGCGGAACGCTCCCGAGCAGCCGTTAGTCGCTCGGGAACTGTCCGCTAGGGTTGTCCTGTCACTTGTCCTGTCTTGTCACTAGGGTTGTATTTTCATTGTTTCTGAACGCTAATTGTCTGATTGTTATTGAATTTGCTTAAACGTAAAATAAAATGAAACCAGTTTTTTTTATTTTATATTACTTTCCGTTCTGACAACCCTAGCAATTTATTGTTTACGTCTGCTTTACCGACAATATCAAATGGGATGACTGACTTTTTTTATAGGATAGGATGACAAACAAGCACACAGTCCACCTAAGTGGTTACTGTGGCTCATAGACACCTACATGTATCCTCGATTACAAATCAAAATGCAAATGCTTTGTCGCCCGTGAGGACTAAGTTGGGATGCCTCGTTTCCAGTGAAAAGAGTCTCCGGTTCTCTATACTCACCATACGAAACACAGCAGCATTAAGCTACTATTTTACGCCGGTATTCTGTGAGACCATGGTCTTCCCCGGTCGAGCCGACCCGTTTGTTCTACAACCATAATATAGTTGCATCATGGCGCTACCCTAGTAGACAAATGGGTTCTGACACAGATGGTCACCCAGTGTTATTATTATTAAATAGGTGCGGTTTAAATCATAAAATCGGTGTCTAGTGTTTTTATATGTATGTTACTGATTTATATGTATAGTACTGATTTATATGTATAGTACTGCTAGTGTATTTATATATATAGGACTGTTTCGTTGATCTAGTGGTTGTAGTAGTGCGACTGCTGATCATGAGGTCCTGGGTTCGAATCCCGGGTCGGGCCAAAAATTAATTATTGAGTTTTTCCGTCAAGAAATTCTCAGTAGTTGCCCGGAGTCAGGAATTTGGCGGTGTCTCACCCCCGTGCCTCGGAAAGCACGTAAAGCCGTTGGTCCTGCGCCTGATCTCTTTCCGGTCGTGTCGGTTTACCGTCCCATCGGATTACGAGAGTGAGGGAATAGAGAGTGCACCTGTGCTTGCGCATACAATTGGGCACTATATCCTGTCCTGCGCCGATGGCTAGCCTCCGTTGAGGCAGGCCGCCGTGGCCGAAATTTGGTCTGGAGGACATTATTATGTATAGTACATTATTATTTACACTTGTCTAATAATATAACTTCCCCTCCATGAGATCTGTCAAAATATTTCACCTCATTTCAAAGAAAAATACAATCCAATTGAGAACCTCCTTCTTGTTTGAATCGACTAAAATTTTATTTCTAAATTTGTACTCAAAAACACATTATTTATTTTGCAGTAAAAGATAAATCCTGTCCGGAAGCGTCAACACTGTAAGTATGAATTAAAAACTTTATCCATAAAATTTTCTCAATTTTATATTATCTAGGATAATTACTATTAAGTATGAATCTCATTTTTGGCATATGTCTAATCTATTCTTATATGTGTTGTTAAGTTACTTAAGTCTCGATGTAAGGTAGGTAATATCACCTTAAGCTTTACGGCCCTATTAAACAAAAACTAGGACGACAAAACACCAATTCGTATACTATAACTAAATACATTAAGAAAAAAATAGCAAACAATCTTTGGTAATAATTAGAAACGCTTCGAAAAATCAACTTACTGTACTGTCAACTGTCGAAATGGCGTCGATTAAGCGGGTATATTTTCACCTTTTATTATTTGCAGTGGATTTATAAAGGATGTAATTATGACTTATGAAGAAAAAAAACAAGAAAGAACTCGTGTCGAAAGTGTAACGATCTATAGTTATTTGAATTGCAAATCATTCTAGTCCAAGTTTGTTTTTAAATAAAATATGTGCATTTCACACACAGTAAAAGTAAAGCCTTCAAATGAAATGAAATAAAAAATAAAATAATTTGCGTCAAATGATTCACTAATTATGATAATTTTTAATAACAAACGCTGCATAAAAGCTAAGACAAAAGTTTAACTTTGTAGCAAATGTTAAAATACTGATTTTTGAACATGTAGAGCCTAAATTTTAGTGTAATATATAAAAACAATATTTTCTTTCGAGTTCATTTGCTTTTTAATAGCGCCATGTACCTAATTCTATAAGTAAATCATTGTACAAAATTTGAGCGATAAATAGACTCTAATAATATTATATCTACTCATTCTCTCAAAAATTCATTTTCACAAATTCTAAAGAAATGTTCAAAAAAAAAAAACTTAAAATATCGACCGATGGTTAATATCAAGATAAAGTAATTTTACGAGTAGTTGATCCATGTAAAATCTCAGATGCATGGCGTCTACTGCAGATTCTTCTTCATATGTCCTGATGTAGACTATAAACGTATTTACAGCGAAGATTTTATTAAACTAAAATGTTAACAATATATCTTTGATCCATTCACAGGGTTAGCCAAATCGAAAAATCTGCACTGTCGGAAACTACTTGCCCAAACCCCGAATGTTGTAAGTAACTATTTAGTTTCAACTTTAGTAGACACTAACACAAAAAAGCTTGGTGACACACGAGCACACAGTCCATTTGATGGTAAGTGGATGTTGTGGCCCATAGACATTTATATTTATCCTCGATTATGGATCAAAATTTAGATGCTTTGTCACCCCTGAGGACTGCGATAGAATGCCTCGTTTCCAGCAAAAAGTCTCCGGATCTCTACACTCACCACACGAAACACAGCAGTATTAGGTTGCTATTTTACGCAGACCCATTTGTGCTACAACTAATATAGCTGTAGCGTGGCTCTACCACATAACATTTACAGTTACAGAAAAGTACCATCTTACATACTTGTCGTGTACTGCCGGCGTAAAATAATCCACCACTCCATACCATCGCGTGGCGAAAGTCGTAGAGGCGTCAAAAGTAGGCGTCAGTAGGCAGCAGCATCTTCCTGATAAAAAAAACTGTGATTGCGAAAAATTGTGATTTGGAAACGAGGCATTCCATCTTAGTCCTCAAGGGTGACAACGCATCTGCATTTGTAATCGAGGATAGATGTAGATATCTATGGGCCGCAGCAACTACTTACCATCAGGTGGACTGTGTGCTCGTTTGTCACCCTATCCTATAAAAAAAGCGTAGCAACTTCAACAAAACCCTATCTGGCAATCTACGAGGGAAGCCCATGTTTTTAGTCTATGACTTTTCGTAGTCAGTAATAAAATAATTATAATGAATTATACCTATTACCAGCTATGTTTTAACCCCAAACTTATTTTGCATATCTGATTTTATTTCAGGGCCTTTGTTTAAATAAAATGTGACAGCCCTGAGCCTCAATGAATGCAAAAAGTACTTAATAAAGTTATCATAACCCTTTCCCACTAGATGGAGTGACGACACTGTAACAGATGTAAGAAGTCGATTGATGCAGGAGGCTCAGGAGTTTACCTACCGGCATTCCTTGGGGAAGGCATATACTCGTATAAATTCTGAGGAATGATGATGTTTAACAGATTTCCTTGTAAAATTTGACGAAAAATTAAGAATTTAAGTAAACTTTGCCAGAATCAAAACATCGAGACCCAAATTGGATGTCAATTGAATGCGGCGTACCTTGACTATCCTGGATTCTCCTTGGAGAACAAATTCCATCTACGTGCCGGAGTCTGTGTGTACGTCCGCAATGACATCTGCTTCCTGCGTTTTCGTCACCTTGAAGACATACACGTTTACACCTGTGTCTATCCATCGCACAGACTGTCTATCGCACTATCAGGAGAGAACACGATTATTTTATCACCTCATAGCTGATCTTTCTAGGAAACTTTTACGCCTGTCCTCAAGACTGGCTGTTCCCACACCATAAGATCGACCATGCTGGAAGAGAAGCGTGGAATATTGCCTTGACACCAGGTCTTACTCAGCTGGTAAAGGGAGCGACTAGGGTACCCGATGTAGACAGTCACACAGCCAATTGCTTAGACCTTCTGCTGACTACCGAACCAGACAGGTATGAAGCACAGTAGGGGAGGTAACCCCTTAAGGTACATCTAACCACTGGTAAAATCTGTATTGCCATATTCTCCACCTAATTAGGAGTCCCAAGATGTTTGGCGAATATGGCGTATATAAGTCAGCTGATTGGGTTGAGTGGCGACACTTTTTTGCATCCTATCCTTGGTGGAAGGTCTGTTTTTCTTTTGCGAATCCTATCCGAGTTGCGCGGATTCGACAACCGATATGTTGCGTCAAGCTATGGAGTATTCTATCCCTTTTTCTGACGCTCCCACCGGTAGCAAAGCTCTAAAAGAGGTAAAGCGCAATATGCGCCCAAAGTAAAAAAACTATCGAAACTGCAAAGTTCTGGATATCAGCTCCTAAAAGAGAACGTTCAACCAGGCCGCCAAGTCCCACAAAAAAGCGTTACAAAAAAGCATGTCTCGATCGCATTAAACATATGGGCGCAAAAATCTCTGCCAGACCAACCGGCACTAGAGCTTTTTGGTCTCTTGTCAAAGAGGTCGAGACAAATTTCAGTAAGTCTACACTGCCTCCGCTGGTAAAAACGGACGGTAGGCACACTGGCGCATATGGCTTGTTCGCATATGTATTTGCCTACAATTCGCGTCTGAACAGTGGCAACAATACTTCACCTAAATTATCTCACTGCAGGACTTTAGAGGTTCGTATCACAAACAAGGAGATTGTCTATATGTGAATAAAGCTAGTGGACCAGATGGTATACCAGCTACAGTTCTGAAGGCTTTTGCACCTTAGTTGTCTCCTGTGTTGACACGCTTGTTCCGCCTTTCATTTAGGACTGGAATAGTGTCAAAATCCTGGAAGCTGGCCAACATGCACCCTGTTCCAAAAAAAGGCAGCCGTGCCGACCCTACCAATTATCGACCAATCTCAATAACCTATTAAGCGGCTGCTCTATTGCATACCTAGAACGGAATGGCCTCCTTAGTGACCGGCAATATGGGTTTCACCGAAACCGGTCAGCTTGGAACCTTCTATCAAATGCCACACACGTGTGGAGCGAGGCACTCGAGAACAGTGGGGAAGCACTTACTGTTTCTCTTGATGTCTCGAAGGCTTTTGTCTTTTTTGGATAAGCTTCCAACGTACGGCTTATCCACTGATCTGAAAGACTGAGTAAAGGACTTTCTGAGTGAATGGTCTCTCCGGGTCGTTGTCAATGACTGTTCATCTGATCCTGTGGCGACTAGTGCCGGTGTTCCTCAGGTGTTCATTCTCTCCGCAACTCTATTCCTGGTGCATATCAATGATCTGCTTATGTCCGGTATCTATAGGTATGCAGACGATAGTACAATTGTGGAGAGATACCATCAAAGTTCTCGGGCAGTCGGAATCAAATCCAATCCGAAAGAGAAGCTATGGTAGAACGTGTGAATCTCACATTACAGGCAGTCTCCGAATGGGGCGATGTCAATCTTGTGAAATTCACCGCCTACAAAATACAAGCCTGTCTCGTCACTGCAACTCCACAACTTGACTCTTTCTTTCCGATTTGTATCACTGGAATACACCGACCGCCTTCAGTTGTTGGGGGTTGAGATATCCTCACCATCTTAGGCTACACCACTACTTACCATCGGGCGTGATTGTTGTTAAGAGCTGGCATAGAATAATAAAAAAATCTTTTTCACATAGTTTCTCAGTCGTTGATGACCATTAGATTTTAGAAGTTTCTTTTTTCAAATTCACTCCAATCAGAAATAGAGCTCTCTAAATAGTATTCTTAGAGATTAATTTAGTAGTAGTTATTTCTCACAAGTTTCCTTGTTTTGTATAAGATTTGATCTTATATAATATCAGATACCCAACGATAAAAAAAAACTGGCCCTACTGGCAACCCTGATTCGTAGTAAGGTAATAAACTGCTTGCAGAGTGGTAATCAGTTAAAGCTTAAACAAAGTATACATAAGTTGAACGCAAAAATAATTTATTTATATTTTTTTTCTTTGAATACTATAATTTATTTGGTTGCTTATGGTTACTTCTAATATAATATTAAAATAAAGACTCCACGGTGCAGTCTCTAAGCATAAAGTTACGGCGCATGGGACGCGAGTTCGCATTCCATATGGAACAAGTATTTATATTTGTGTAATTTATTTGCGTTAACTGTCCCTACGATACCCGTAACTTTTTTTAATTGTTACAGTGAAGGACATCCCGCGTGACCAAGCAGCGGTTCCGTAAGTATTTAAGAAGCATTTTCCTCTACATCTGCTTATAAAAATCCGCTCATGTACCACAAGTTTTCTTCCTCGCACGGCTTATTTATCTAGTCGACAACGCATCTACATTTTGATTATTAATGGACGATAAATGTCAATGTCTATAGGGTGATAGCATTCACTTACCATCACGTGGAGTGTGCTCATTCGTCACCCTTAGTCTATAAAAAAAAAAGTTTCTTCAGCGAAAAAGTACAAACTGACGAAACCGTATTTTTGTGTTCTTAACATTTGTTGCCAGATGTCTAATAACAGCAGTATAGTAGTTTTAATTATTTTTGAAGGCTCATAATTTACAAAATAATGTTTATGGAAAATCTAAACAAAACCTGTAAATATTGCAGTGGTAGATATAGTATATTCTAAACCGGTAATAACAGTAGTTTTAATTATTTTTGAGTTCTCATAATTTACGAAATAATGTTTGTGGAAAATGTAAACAAAACCTGTAAACATTGCAGTGGTAGATATAGGATATTCTAAACCGATGGTCCGTGGACCACTTGTGGTCCCTGAAGACACCCGAAGTGGTCTCTGAAGACACCCGAAGTGGTTCGCTAAGGCATCATACAAATCTCTCATATAATAAAGTCGAAAGTATTTTTGGAGTTGATAGTCTGTGCGTAGATACTACCGATACGCTTTACATACACAGTGCTGTTACATTAAAATAGGGGATAATTAACAATAATACCGCGCATTAAGTTTTGTACACGTTCATAATTATGTAACTAATTTAAAAATCGACTAAACCATAATTCATTGTATAATCAAACCATAACTCATTGTATGTCAAACCATAACTCATTGATATCAAACCATAATTCATAGTATGTCAAACCCTAACTCATATTATGCCAAACCATAATTCGTAGTATGTCAAACCATAACTCATAATATTCAAACCATAATTCATAGTATGTCAAATCATCATTCATAGTACGTCAAACCATAATTCGTAGTGTGTCTAAAAGTTGGTCGGTAGCAATATAAAAAATCGGTCAAATGGTCCCTCGTTACTAAAAGGTTAAAAGCCACTGCTCTAATGTCATTATCCAGATAGAAAACAGAGGATACGTTTGCATAGAGTTAATGTCGCCCGGATATTTTATGTAGTTTTAGAGGGTAAAAATCTATAACAAATTACATCGCCATTTAAGGAAAGATTCCTTCATTTTATTAAAGATTCCTCCAAATTAATGCTTCAACATTGTTATTCCGTACCGTATTTCTGCAAGTATAGTTTAGAAGCCAAAATAAAAAGATTGAACACAAACTTTGCATAGATCGCACTTGGCTGTTTTTACATTTAATGATACTAAAACATAGGTGTACATAATTTTATATATATTATTAATTTCAGTAAGGAATTGGCCGCAACCAGCACACCGCCAATGTTCGAATCTTCCCCTTTACAATTACAAAAAGAAACGCAAGAAGAGAAGGACGCAGAGGAAAGTCTAATGACACCTGAAAAACAATCACGGAGTAAGATATACCAAAGACAAAATAAGCAATATGCAGATACAAGATTTATTTAGAGATTAAATTTAAAAAAAACTGTTTGTGCCGTGTAGTACGCCGTAAAAGAAAACACTGCCTGAAATCGTTTGGACAATACAAGTGGCGACAGAGGGAAATACAATTACAATGGGTGCGTTTGGCAGAAAAAAGCGCTAGCAAGCGCTTACAAGCGTTGAAATAGTTTTCGACCACGACACGATTGCTACTTCAGTAGCGCTGACACAATCCGCCATTTTGCTTATTTAATTTGTTTGTTTTGAAGTAGAGTTTATAAGTTGTTTTGTGTACTATTAGTTTTAAGTAATATATTGACATGAATAAACAAATACACGTTATTAAAAATTCATGATTGGTAAGTTTTTAATATGAATACTTTTCAAACATATATTTAAATTAGGTTAGGTTCCCCGGTTAAAACTAACATCGTGTCCTGGAGGAAAATAGCTACTTACGATTTGACAGCGCTTACCGCTTACGATCGCCATTTTGCTTACAAGCGCTTGCTAGCGCTTTTTTCTGCCAAACGCACCCAATGGGCAGCAGCTTCTTTCTGAAATCAACTGACAAAAAATGTTGCGGTTGCTTACCCGCCTCACAAGCGTCATACTTTAGACCCGGTTTACATTTTGAGAAGTGACAAGTGCGCGTCGCTAGTGCTACTGGCAAATGAATGGTTATTGCGCATTCAATTCACACTTTGCACTTGTCACTGCCTGTTCACACGCACTAAGCACTTGTCATTTGTCAGTTGAACTTGCCACTCGCACTTGTCACTTCTCAAAATGTAAACCGGGCCTTAGTATCAAACACGTTGCATCATACAAAGTAATAAAAAACAAGTACTGTATTAAAACAAAACTAGGAAGAGGACAGAGACAAAAACACATAGTCGAATACTATAACTAATATATTAAGAAAATAATAGCATACAAGCTTTGGCAAAAATTAGGAACACTTCGAAAGATCAATTTCAAAAAACTAACTACACTATACAATACTAAAATCGACTAAAATATTTACTATAATGTCATCTGTCAAAATGACTGCTAGTTAAAGCGGCGCCATTTGGACCATGTATTATTTGATTGACATTAGTTTTTTTTTGTTTTATAATCGATCTTTACTTGCAACCGTGTAGTGGTTTAGTAAGAACATCCACTACTCCATATCATCCCGTGGGTGTCGTAAGAGGCGACGGAATCAAATCAGGAGTTGGGTATCAGTGTCTTCCTAATAACGAGTAAAAATAAAAAACTGCGGTGGCAACCCGCTTGCAAAGCATGGCAACTATAGCAAATAGCCCCCCTATGAGCCAATGGAGGAGGCGTATGTTATGCGGTGGACTTCAATAGGCTGTAACGGTGTAATAATGTCAAAAGGGGGAGCCAGTAATCTCATTGCACAGTGTAACCTAGTATGGGCTACACTGTGCAATTGCTCCTGGCTCCCCTCTGATATATTTTAAGAGTATGTGAGAGAAATAAATTATTGTGTGTTCAGCTTTGGACTTTTGGTAGACTGTAATGATGATGATGGTTTACTAATGTTATTAGTTTATATTTAATTATTTCTGTAAACATATCCTATACCTTTAAACGAGCAAATCTTGTATATATATATATATATATATATATATATATATATATATATATATATATATATATATATATATAATCGGAATCTCGGAAACGGCTCCAACGATTTTCATATGTCCGTGTTTTCAGGCAATAAAAAAAACTGCTACAATATAAGAAGGTAAATTTTGACAGATCACTAACGATCGTCATAGCTCGGGTGGGATGTCGGTCGGACGTGAAATCTGAGTTCCGTAGTTCGCGTCCTGTCTCTGGTCCGACTTTTTTCCTTTTTTTTCAAGTTCCCTTCTTCTGTGAGAAAAACTATTATTTCAAGCCCTTTTTTAGTATTTTTAAAAATACGAAAATTTTAATAAAACTAATTGCCCTCATGATTTTTTATTCAAATAACCAGTTCAGTTTTTTTTTTATTCTGTCAATAAGATCAAAAATATTATTTATGTTTCATCAGTATGTAATTTATATATATAATTTCAAAAAAAAAACGAGCAAAGCTCGGTCATCCGGGTACTTACATAGTAATAAATACTATTTACTAATGTATTTGTTCTTTAAAATTAAGATTTACTGCAGAGATACAATCGAACTACTTTCATAATTTAAATTCTTATTCGATCTAATTTTAATAACACCAAATATTTGATTTACAGACATCAACAAACGGGTATCAACTAGCACCAGTAAAAAGACAAGGTATGTAATCAAGGGTGTGTTCCGATATACACTACGAGCACTGTTTAGTGCTCTCACTGGGGTAAAAATTCGTTCAGTTATGGACTGCCAGTATAGGTACTGTCGCAGTACCTTAGGTATATATATATATATATATATATATATATATATATACATATAAGCCTGTGAGCAATGGCGCTTTCGAGGTAAGATGCTCTCGTGACTTTGATCACGTGATCAAAAAAACAACAGCGCCGAGATTTAAAAGTTTCCGCGAATGATTGTTCTTATTGTTAATTAATATTGACATTCAAATAAACTCGGACATTATGCAGGTTAGATTATAAAGTAACAACATTCAAATTATATTTTTCTTGGTGAAAGCCAAAGGTCAAAAACAGAGTCGAATAATGGGGATGATTGTACACTGGACTGCATTCCGTTTTAAACAGTAACCAGTATAGCAAACTAAGTATTAACGGACAATTTCTGTAAAACTTTTGTTTTGAACTTTCGTAAAAAGTATTTCGCGTGACATAACTGTCTACAACAACATTTTTATACGGTTTAGGTATAACAGTGCCCAGCTCGAAACTATTCAAGCGCACGAAAGTGAACCCCGACGTTCTATAGAGGAAGTAAAAAAAAACAGAGCCGCCGACAGAGAAAGACAGAGATCCTCGCATATGAAAAGTGATGCATTACCAGACGACAGTCGTCCCTCAAGAACAAGAACTGGACACAAAAAAGTGTCGGACGTGTCCCAAAGTTTTCCAGAGAAGCTTTCTCGTGGTACGTAACTTACCACTCACAAAATTTAATTTTTAAAGTTGACTTCTTGGTCTTCTCCATCTGGTCGCAAGAAGAAGTGACCATAATTACCACGCTTGGCAGATGGATAAGCAATCGCAGGCGATATAGTTACACCACTATTTTAAAACACAAAAAAAAAAAACACACACACACATACACACACGCACACATTTATGTGTGTGTTTTAAAAAGCGCATAAAATCGACGCACGAAAACACTCACGCACTCACACGCACACACACACATACACACACGCACGCACACACACACACACACACACACACACACACACACACACACACACGCACGCACGCACGCACGCACGCACACGCGCGCACGCGCGCACGCATTAAAAATGTTATCTTTTATTCTTTAATAGACGCTTATAATGGATCGTAGTGAAATGTCGGTTGTTTGTCAGTTTCAGTTACCATATTTGCCATGCTTTACGTGTGGGTTGGCAGCTGCAGATTTCTTTATTATTAGTTGTTATTAGGAAGACGCTGTTGTTTCCCTCTAACGCCTCTCACTACACTCACAAGACGATATGGGTAGTGGATATCCTTCCACCGCCACAACACGGTAACTTACGTCGTAATTTCATATCTCATGCATACAAAAGTCTACTGTTAAACATTCGCCTCTCCGATTGATTGCCTAATAAGGTGATTTTATTATTCTGAGTTATCAGGTAAACGCTGCTGCCAACCTTCTGATTCAGTTCCTTGTGTCGTCTCTTACGACATCCACGGGACAACATGAGGCACTGTAACTGTGGTCACTTTAAGCTTTTTCGCCCTATAAAACCAAAACTAGGAGGAGGATAGAGACAAAAACACAAATCGTATACTACAATTACAATCAATCGTATATTACAAGTTATAACTGATATATTAAGAAAAAAATATTTGGCAAACATTACGAACACTTCGAAAAATCAACTTAAAAAGACTAACTCTAGATACACAATATTAAAATCGACTAAAATATTTACTTTAATTTCAAAATGGCGTCGATAAAGCGTTGCCCTTTTGACCCTTTATTATTTGATTGACTGATAAAGAGCTATCGTATCACAGAGCCATCAGTGCAAAAAAAGGCTGTAGTTTTTTAGTTCTAATAAATTGACCTTAAAATGGTGCATGACCATATTACCCTCACGTGCTACTGTGGAGATTCTTATCATGACTAGGTATACGGTATTTTTATACTACTTAATTACATTCGTATTCGTATCGTACAACTCATAACTTCAGTCAGTGTTCAACATCCAGTTGGATGACTGTCCGTTTTGAGGAATAAGTGTGTGAACGATAATAAATGAGCATGGAATGTTACAGCAATCGGAAAAGGTGACACGGACACAAATGAACGGTCAAGATATACGTAAGTATTTTTTTAATTTATCTATACCGATACGTAAATAATATTATGGGAGTATCTATCTGTAATATCCACATAACTGCCCTTTATTAAACTTATATACTGAATGATATTTGCATGTTATAAGAGATAAATGGTTACACATCATTTTTAAAAATTGAAAATAATAGAAATTGAAATTTTGTCTGTCTGTGTATCTATCCGGGCTAATCTTTGATATGGCACAACTTATTTTAATGAACTTCTCGAGAATGTTTTTAAATCGAAAAATCTATTTATTTTATCTTTATTGTAAGACACGTAAGAGTGACAAAAAGCGGACTTAATGCCTTACGACATGGTTGACGCGTCAGTACGGGAGGCGTACTACCTACTGTAAGTTAATTGTACTATGCCTATAACCAAATCTATCTATCTAAATTTTTCATACGTGGTAGAGTCATGCTGCAGTTATATTAGTAGTATAGTTGTTACACGAATGGGTCAGCTCGACCGGGGAAGGACCACGCCCTTACAGAATATCAGTGTAAAATAGCAGCTTAATGCTGCTGTGATTCGTGCAGCGAGTGTAGAGAACCGGAGACCCTTTTTACTGAAAACGAGGCATTCCATCTTAGTCCTTACGGGTGACAACGCGTCTGCATTTTGATTCGTAATTGAGGATACATAAGTGCCTATGGGCCACAGCAACCACTTACCGTCAGGTGGACTGTGTGCTCCTTTGTCACCCTATCCTATAAAAAAAAACTCTCGCGCAAGTGCAAGCAATAAGTTGATAAAATTTAACGCTATTTGATAAACGGTATATGGCAGCGAATATAAAATACGAACTGACCGACATTGATTTTTATATGTTAGATTTTATTCATCATCAATTACGCTAACAACTAAAACTGCATCATTTTATTAAAACCAGAAACCCATGCAGCTACCGTCGGGTGGATCCAGAAGTAGAACAGCCACAAGGATGTGTGCCTTATAAACCACCTGAAGAAGATAACAGGGATAAATGTTTTCCAAACGCAACCAAGACCGCTCAAAAGAGAACTTACACTCCACAAGCCATAATACCTGAAAAATTACCAAGAAGTAAGTCAAATGAAAAATGTGTTATGTATCAAATCATAACCCTCTCACAGAGTTCAGTTAAGGTAGAGGAACTCTTAGATACTCGGTTTTAAACGTGGTAGAACCATGCTGTAGCTATAATATGGTTGTAGCACGAGTGGGTCGGTTCGACCGAGGACGCTCTCACACAGAATACCAGCGTGAAATAGTAGCTTAATACTGTGTTTCGTATGGTGAGTGTAGAGATCCGGAGACCCTTTTTTACTGGAAACGAGGCGTTCCACCTTAGTCCTCAAGGGTGACAACGATCTGTGTTTTAATTCTTAATCGAGGATAAAAGTAGATGTCTATGGACCACAGCATCCACTTGCCATCAGGTGGACTTTGTGCTCATTTGTCAGCCATATTCTATTAAAAAAAACTATTTACGCGAATACTACAGCATTATTATTATCACAGCCGTAAAGCCAAATCCTAAAGTTTTTTAATCACTTTTGAATACTCCCTATTAGTCTACTTACCAAAACAAGTCCTGCGGTTACCATAGTCTAATTTGGGCTCATTTTAGTCGTTATAGTGGTCAAACTGCGATCTTACTTATCATCGTCATTATTACAGCCCTTCACAAAAACACTGCTCAGCATAAGCCTCCCACAAGGAAAGCCACAAAGTACGATCCTGAGTCACGTGCATCCATCGACTTCCTGCATGTCTTACCAGGTCGTCACTCCATCTAGTGGGGGCCCGGCTTGCACTGTGTCTACTGGTACAAGGCTGCCACTCCAGAAACTTTCTTCCCCAACGGTTGTCGATTCTTTGAACATATACGGTCGGACCATTGCGACTCCAGCTTACTGATTCTTCAGACTATGTCGGTTACCTCTAGTTTTACTGCGGGGATCCACATTTCTAAGTCTATCACGCAGAAAAACTCCTTACTCCATAGCTAGCAGATCCTAATGTAATCACTGGCAACACGCACTGGTTGTACAATGTTGTTGTTTTTTTTTTTTTAATTTATTTTATGTACACACATTAAGGTACAGAAGCAGTCTTATAGTAATTACGTACAAAGGTTCTACTTATTCCAAATTCGCTGAAATATCTTCCAGTAGACCCATAAAGGAAATTATATTTAAATTGCAAACTTAGTGCATACATTAGTACTACTAAAAATAAATAATATACACAATGTTACGGAAATTATATAAAATAAAACAATAACTAAAAATAAAATAAATAATAATAATAATAAAGACGATAGTTACATATGAATATATATATATATATATATATATATATATATATATATATATATAATATAAATTAACAGGATGCAAAGTAGTTATCTCTAAGACGTTTCTTGAATACCAACAAAGTTTCGGAATTTCTTATATTTGACGGTAGTGAGTTCCATAATCTTACCGCGTGAACTGAAAAGGAGTGGGAGTAAAAACCGGAATTAAAGACGGGAAAGTCAAGAAGATTTTTAACAAGGGATCTGCATGGTTTGTCTGGAGGATGGGTGAAGGAAAATCGGCTTCTGAGGTATGTGGGAGAGGAAGGGTTGTGCAAAATGTTAAAAAGGAGACATAACAATCGAGTGTTCCTTCGAAGTCGAATTGGGAGTATCCGCATAATCAAGGAGAGGTAGGATAAGAGTAAGCACGAGTGAAATTTTAGCTCTAAGGGGTAAGAAATTTTGTAGACATTTAAGCGAATGCAAAGTAAAGTAGACCTTGCGACTAACTTCAGCGATATGCGTGGTCCATGTTAAATGGTGATCAAATATGACGCCTAAGTTTTTGACAGTATTGGCAAAGGGTATAGGAACGCCATTAAAACAAACAAAAGGTAGTGATCTAAATTCTAATCTATTACGCAAGTGCCTACTGCCTATTATGATGGTCTGAGATTTCGTGGGATTAACTAATAGTCCGAAGGATGCAGACCATTCACAGATGCGGCCCAGATCCGCATTCATAGCTGCAATTGCATTATTTGTATCACCCACCGGAAAATGACGATAAAGCTGTAAGTCATCCGCGTAGAGATGGTAATTAGATGTAATAACACTCGTAATAGAGTTAATAAATATGGAAAATAAAAGGGGGGAAAGAACGCCACCCTGAGGTACACCCGTAGTGATACCAGACCAGTCGGATAGAGTGTCATTAACACGGACACAATGTGATCGACCACGAAGATACGAATCAAACCATGCAATGGTAGATGGGGAAATGTTTATAGATTCCAGGATCCGGAGAAGAATATCAAAGTCTACTGAGGTAAAAGCACTACTAAAGTCAAGCAAAACTAAAAGTGTAAGAGATTTATTGTCCATGGCCCAACGGATATCATCGGTTACTTTAAGTAAAGCAGTGACAGTGCTGTGTCCACGACGAAAGCCCGACTGATAAGTGGAGAGCAAGGAGTTAGACGATAAGAAGAGAGAGAGTTGACTATGGATGATGTGTTCCAAAACTTTAGAAAGAAAGGGTAAAATAGATATGGGACGAAAGTGGGACAAAGAAGAAGGATTAGAAACCTTAGGCAGAGGAATTATATATGCTTGTTTCCAAACTGAAGGAAAAGATGATGACGAAATAGAAAAATTAAATATGTGAGTAAGAATTGGTAGAAGCAAAGGTAGAACTAGCAAAATCATCTTCGCACATAGACCATCAATACCAACAGCATTTGAAGAGATGGCTAGGATGGATTTTTTTACATCTTCCTCCGTTACAAGGGAAAGATGAAAAGGGCAAACGGGCGGTTTCGGTATACCCGCCAATGCGAGTAGTGTGGTGGATTTGATGTAAGGATCTAAAGTCATAGGAGGAGTAGCAAAGTGATTGTTCAGATCCTTTACATTAACATCATTGTATTCTAGGATCGGAGACCTGCCCACACCAACAGAACGAAGGAACTTCCACATCTCAGTAGAATTTTTATTATGTAGAGAGTTGTAAAAGTAGCGTCTTTTAGCATACCGACACAAGCGACTGCAGCGGTTGCGTAAAAATTTAAAACGATTTAAGTTATTTTCAGATGGGAGACGTTTAAACCTTTGCTTAGCTTTGTCCCTCTGGCCCATAAGTTCTCTTATATCTTGTGTAATCCATGGTGCAGGATTACGCTTTATTTTTACGCGTTTGAGCGGGGCATGGTTATTGTATACCTTCAAAATTATATCATTAAAGTTACAAACCCTATCATTAATATTAGTATTGTCAACAATAGGTGTCCAATCAACATTACTTATATCACGCTGCAATGACTCCAGATCTATTCCCTTGTAATTACGAAGGAACAAGTATTGGGATTTCTTTTTAGGTGGACAGAGACTATAAGAGAGGTAGATTAAATCATGATATGAAAAAGAGGCAGTTATTTGTCCATGAGACATGACACTATCAGGAGAAGAAACGATCATAATATCAAGCAAAGAAGGGTTACAGTTAGGGAAGTGATGAGTTGCCTGAAGAGGGAGAGTGAAAAGATTGAAGGAAGATACCAAAGTCAGAAGTTTTTGGGAGCGAGAATCATTTTTAATAAGGCAGGTGTTGAAATCTCCTATAAGAATAATATGATCGTAAATAGGACTAAAATAAGCAAGGATTTTTTCAAGCGTATCAAAGTAATCTATGTGCATGTTAGGACTGTAAAATACCGCCAGCAACATTTTTACATGATTGAGAGTAACTTCTATAAAGAGATATTCAGCAGATTGAGAGTAAATAGAAGGAGAGGCACATATGGTCTTATAAAATATATCCGAACGCAGAGATATAGCTATCCCACCACAACCTTTTCCTATACGATCATTACGAATAAGTTGTTTTCAAGTTTTGAGGTAAACTTTACGAGAAGATGTGTCGTAATCTCCCGAACGCTGTCCTGCACAGTCGAATCCGATGATTGACCTCTCGGTCGAAGTCGGACTTACCTCGGATGATTTGTACTGGGTAAACAATCTCATCGACAACTTGAGAGTAGTACTCCCTACAACTACTGTCATAGGTGTGACATAGACGTTACACATACCACCTGTTTAGTGGCGATGTAAGAGTATACACTACCCTATATCATCCTGTGGGTCGTCAGGCAGCAGCAGTTTACTAATAATTACAGCAAAATTCCAATAAAAAAAACTATGGTTGGCAACCTGCTCACCAAGCGTACCAACTAGGGCAATATCCCCCCCCCCCTTGGCGAAACTTATAAAGAAACGGCCCGTATTCCCCGGCAGCCCCGCCATTCCTGGCTACGTTGGCAACCATGGTAACGGTTAGACAAGAAGTGCTAAGAATCGGTAGAGGTTCGGTTGCGACCTTGGACGGTTACAGCAAAACTAATAATTAAATGCATAGTTAAAATAATAAAAGCTGAAGGTGATTTGAGTTAACTATGGAATCAGGACGTCAAACATCCCAGTCCCCCAGTGACCGTAGCGTAAAAAATTTAAAACTAAACGCTATAAAACTTAACAAAAACAGTAGATACTTTTTTATAAGATAAAATAAAAACGAAAATGAAATTTTCATTTCATTTTAAAAATGAAAATTTGTAAAATGTACTCTCAAAATTCCCCAAAAATAACTAGCCTTTTCATTTAATATAAATTATGTTTCATTATGAACTCAACTCCTGCAAGTATATTCCATTTTTATAAAATTTTGTTTCTCCGCAATAATTACATTCAAGTAGATTTACAGAAGTTTAAAAAGTTAAAAGTACGAGTACTTACTGCATTATAACCTTAATATAAATCATTGTTAGATACCTTTTAGATGCAGCGGAAACCTTAAAACATTTATAAAATTTGTCTCTTTCACCTGCCCGTTAAGTTGGTTAACGGTGCACGTGATGGTAAGAATCGACCGTCGCTCATAAACAACTGCAACACCAGGGGTATTGCAGGCGCGTTGCTCGAATTCGTGTAACTCAATTTTCTCCTAATATTACAAAAGTCGATATGGCGTATTGAATGCTCGCAGAATTGTTTTTTTTATAGAAGAAGCGGCAAACGAGCATGCGGCTCACCTGATGTTAAGTGACTACCGCCGCCCATGATCAACCGCAACACCAGAAGAATTGCGGGTGCGTTGCCGGCCCTTTAGAAAGGAGTAAGCTCTTTTCTTGAAGGTCCCCAGGTCGTATCGGTCCGGAAAAATCGCCGGTGGTAAACTATTCCACAGAGAGGTTGTACGTGGAAGAAAACTCCTTGTGAAACGTACAGTGGTGGACCGCCAAGCATCCAGATGGTGTGGATGGTATCGGGACGTTTGCCGTGTAGTGCGTTCACGAAATTTGGCGGCTGGGATTAATCCGAACAAATCCTCAGAGCACTCCCCGTGATAGATGCGATAAAATACGCAAAGAGATGCAACATCTCTTCGCAGCGCCAGTGAATCGAGCCGATCGGAAAAGCACTCGGTCGTCGACGATTCGAGCCGCTCTGCGCTGGATGCGGTCAAGTGGAAGGAGCTGGTACTGTGGAGCTCCAGCGCAGAGATTGGAACTGTATTGCATGTGCATCCGAACCTGCGCGTTGTATAGTAAGGCGGTGTGCCAGCATTAAATACTGTCCCGCTCTTCTGAGCACGCCAAGCTTTTTAGAGGCCAAATTGGCCTTCTCTTCCAAGTGACCACGAAACTGCACGACACTCGATATGTCGACGCCGAGGATTCCGATACTGGCTGAGGCAACAAGGGGAGTGCCTTGAAACTGAGGGGATACGACAAAGGGGTTCTTTTTAGCGGTTAACGCGCAAACTTGTCTTCTGGGGGTTAAACTGGACTAGATTTAGTCGTCCCCAATTCGAGACTCTGTTCAGCAAAGACTCGACTTCAGACACAAGTTTGTCCCGGCACTCGGAGACGTTTTCCCGAGAAATATTGGCTCGGCCGGTGTAAAGAGTGATCACCAGTGCTATCATCCGCATAGCAATGAACGTTACGGGTATGCAACATATCATGATATGCAGAAAAAACAGCGTTGGCGATAGCACGCAGCCCTGTGGAACACCAGCATTAATAGGCTTGCAATCGGAGCTTGCACCGTCTACAACGACCTTGATGCTCCGATCTGCAAGAAAGCTGGTGATCCAATCGCACAATTTCTCGGGAAGCCCATAGGTAGGGAGCTTCGAAAAATTCTTGTTGACAAACGACAGTCGAATAGTTCTAAAAATAATATTATTTTGTATTTTATCTTTCAGCTAGCGAAAGACGGCCGACAGTTGAATCTAAAGTCAAAAGAACGTGAGTTAGTTTGTGTATTTGGTAGTGTTTTTAATGTACAAACCGCGCACAGAAGGTTTGCCAATGGCGTAATGACGTTACGCGTCACAAAAACATTTCGGGGGTATTAAACACTTGCCTTCCGCGCGTGGCTCGCATTAGCACAACATGTATGTAACATAATAATGTCCTCCAGACCGAATTTCGGCCACGGCGGCCTGCCTCAACCGAGGCTAGCCATGGCGAGAAGATTATAGTGCCCAAGTATATGCGCAAGCACAGGTGCACTCTCTATTCCCTCACTCTCATAATCCGATGGGACGGTAAACCGACACGACCGGAGAGAGATCAGGCGCAGGACCAACGGCTTTACCGTGCTTTCCGAGGCACGGGGGTGAGATACTGCCAGCTTCCTGACTCCGGGCACCTACTGAGAATTTCTTGACAGAAAAACTCAATAATTAATTTTTGACCCGACTCGGGATTCGAACCCAGGACCTCATGATCAGCAGTCGTACAGTACAACCACTAGACCAACGAGGCAGTATGTGACATAAGACTTAATGGAAACCGTATTTCCAGTACGAGGATTTTAGATCTTCGCTTACCAATCCATGCACGCAGCGTGGATAATATAGACAACTCGTTCAAAGAATTAATCCCTGATTGTGTATTTTCGGGAATATCATATTAAGCAGCTGTGTATTCCGTATATTTTTTGTACGTTAATTTCAACAAGAACTTTGTTTTTCAATTGGGGCAACACCAACAACATGACAGTTTAGACATTTAGTTTTTTTGACCTATTCGTAGTAGATGCTTTGGCAATTGCTACAATGAATTCAATTTCGCTCGAAAATCGCATTAAAATAATTAAAATCCACTATGAAAATGGTGGTTCTGTTAAAGTTACGTTTCGTAAAATTCGTGATATTTTAGGACAACATAATCGTCCTTCTGAGACTGCTATTAAGAATTTGGTCGCTAAATTTGAATCGACAGGCTCGGTACAAAATGTGCCAACACCAACGCGTGTTCGAGCGGCTCGTTCAACCGAAAACATCGCAGCCGTGAGCCACAGTGTTCAAGAAGATCCAAATTTGTCAATTCCTCGACGTTCTCAACAATTGGCGTTATTCAAAACCACCACATGGCGAATTTTGCGTAAGGATTTGGTTTTGAACTGGTGCAGGAATTGAAGCTGACCGACCTTTCACATCGTCGTAGATTCGCTCAATTCATTCAGGAACAACCCGCTTGTTTTTCTGAAAAAACATTTTTTCAGACGAAGCCCATTTTCACTTGTCAGGGTACGCCAACAAGCAAAATTGCCGCATTTGGGCTTCTGAAAATCCTAAAGCGATTATTGAGAAGCCTTTGCATGCTCAACGTGTCACTGTATGGTGCGCTATGTGGTCTGGAGGCGTGATTGGGCCGTTTTTTTTTTCGAAGATGAGGCTGGAAATGCGGTAACGGTCAATGGATCACGCTATCGCGAGATGTTAACATTTCAATTTTGGCCTATTATTGATGACATCGATATCACAAACATGTGGTTTCAACAGGACGGTGCCACATGTCACACAGCCAACGAAACGATCAATTTATTGCAAACCAAATTTCCCGATCGCATAATTTCACGAAATTCAGCTGTTAAATGGCCAGCCAGATCGTGTGATTTAACACCACTGGATTATTTTTTGTGGGGCTATGTTAAGGACAGAGTCTATACGGAGCCAATCGAATCGATCGCAGCCTTAAAAATCAAAATCCGTGACGTGATTAACGAAATAGACCCGCTATTTTGCCAAAAAATGATTAAAAACTTTGATGAAAGAATCGACATCTGTCAGCGTGGTCGTGGTGGACATTTGCCAGATATCATTTTTCATTCATAATTGCCAAACTTTTCTCTTCGTAATACAATAAAAATTTGAATCATCTTCATCTAAACTCTTTGTTTTATTTTGTTTTAGAAAACAAAGTTCTTGTTGAAAACCCCGTTAGAATTTCAAGTCATATACATACAATCATATGCAAGTAGAAAAAATTATGTAGGAATCTACACACCCCTAATCCCCCATTACTGGGCACTGGCATGCTCTTTACATGTTTCGAAATATTTAGTAAGTTAGATTCGGCTCGGATTGACCCCGAGATCTCCCCGGATTGACCCCGAGATCTCCCCGGATTGACCCCGAGATATCCCTGGATCGACATTAATCATAAATACGTGATGGAGCCACGACACAGCGATATATAATGGTTGTACCAGGAATGGGTCGGCTCGGCCGGGTAGGATACCTGCGTAAAATAGTTTACAATAGTTTACGCTAGTATTCTGTATTCGTAGTAAAATTTCGTATGGTGTATGTAGAGACCGGAGACCCTTTTTACTGGAAACGAGGCATTCCATCTTAGTCCTCACGGGTGACAACGCATCTGCGTTTTGATTCTTAATTGAGGATAAATTTAGATGTCTTTGGGCCACAGCATCTACTTACCATCTGGTGTGCTTGTTTGTCACCCATAAAAAATACAAAAATATCAGTTTTATTCCAATTGTTAATTTATTTAATAAAAATCAATATTTTAAAACATTTACAAAGTTTTTCAATTTAATAAATTCATTGTAGCGTCTAGTTTGTGTGTTCGGCAAGTTTAATTACATTTAAATAAAACATTTCACGCAATTTAAAAAGAAAATTTAACTTTTTAATTATTTTATTTTAAATGATTAACAGAAGCGAACCACATCCCAAGTTGGAATCTCTAAACGATCCGTTACAAGATCCCAGAAAGTCGGTGCGCATTAGTGAGAAAACCTCACCAACTGCTCCCACTTACAATAAATTGAGTAAGCATTTATTTCTAATTATCAATATGTAAGTAAAAATGGCGGTGTTAGGACATCCACTACCCAATATCGTCCCGTGAGGGTCGTAATAAGGGTTGACAGGGGGAAACCGAAATAGGGGATGGGTGGCAGCATCTTTTCTAAGAAAAAACTATAGCAGAATCCCACCTAAGTGGCAATCTATAGGAGAGGCCTTTTATACGTGGTAGAGCCATTCTGCAGTTATATTAGTAGTATAGTTGTAGCACGAATTGGTCGGCTCGACCGGGGAAGGACCACGCTCTCACAGAATACCAGCGTGAAATGGTTAGTGTAAAACCTAGATGTAATGGAGTATATATGTGTGTGTGTGTGTGTGTGTGTGTGCGTGTGTGTGTGTGTGTGTGTGTGTGTGTGTGTGTGTGTGTGTGTGTGTGTGTGTGTGTGTGTGTGTGTGTGTGTGTGTGTGTGTGCGTGCGTGCGCATGCGTGCGTGCGCATGCGTGCGTGCCCATGCGTGTGCGCGCGTGTATGTGTGTGTGTGTGTGTGTGTGTGTGTGTGTGTGTTCATGATTTAATACATTTGTATAAATAGCAGGTTCTGTAGGTTTGAAGAGGTAATTTCTTTCTCAGAAAAAGGCCAGCAAATGTAATCGCAAGTTTAAGATAATTTGCTTTACAAAATAGCCAATATTTCCTAACATATTATAATGATTTTCAGGAACGAAAATAGTAGAAGTAAAACAGAAAGACTCAAAAACTAAACAGTAAGTTGGTTCTATGGTTATTTTTTAAATAGATGCAATGGACTCGCATATTTAATCAACAAAGCTTAAAGAAAAAAAAGATTAAGGAATGTTTATATTGGTAGAGGGAATGCAAAAATCAGTAATCCACAGTTCGCTATAAACCTTTATGTAAATCAAGATTAACTATTACGATTAGAAAAAAATCGTCGACTTGTAAAATACGAATTCTGGACTTCAATATTAAGTCTAAGCCACTTTATATATTTTAGCAAATTTTTCCTTGATCAACTCAATATTCAGTAACTATTGTTTAAAATTTCAATAGATTTTCCGTTCTATTGTTATATAATATATTCTTAGATATCAAGCTTTCAATTAGCATTCCACATTCTTCATTTCAATTTAGTGTTAATTTCTCAATCCAAAAATAAATGTTGTCCATCAAATCAATTATATCCTGACTGAATACAAATGTGGAACAATTGGACTGTTTAATTCATACAACTGTAATTTTTAATTTGTTTTTATTGTATTTTCTCCTTTGAATAACTTCCATCTAAAGGTTTCAAACTTAGCCCTTAAAGCGAGTCACAGACTATGCAGATACGATAATATTTTATCTGTGTATAAAAACTTAATTATCTGAAAGTATCACATACTTCGCAGATACGATAATATATGTAATAATACATTCACTCGAAATACTCCATACTCACTAGATATGTTTTTGCAGCAAATTGTTTTTTCAGAGGGTTACCTAACATGAGTTTGCGTATATATTGCTTCTAGATTTGCTAGACAGCTCGTCGAAATAGGATTCAGATTTTGATTTTGATGCACGTGTTGAATTAGCATTTAATAAAAGGCGAAAAATTTGAATAGAACGTTATATAAAGGTCAAAAGGGAGCGAGGCTATTGTAATCGCATTTTTTCAGCGACCATTCTGTATTTATTGGCATGTAACATCCTATGTCAAATTAGTGTCTGCAGATGTTATCTGCGGATATATTTGTATGAGTAGATAATATTATCACCATCTTTCGGTATAATATGTCGGTGCTTAGAGATTACGATAAAAATATAAATTATCTGCGCTGTGTGTTAGTTCATTGGATTTCATAGAGGGCGATATTGAAAGATATGCGCTCAGATATAGATACGAGTATGTTATCGTATCTGTGTAGTGTGTGACTCGCTTAAATCTCAATTTTTGACTATGAGTAATACAAACTTTATATTTTCAGCATTTGTGAATGCAAGAAAGGGAAAGCGACCAAAAAAGATAAAGACGAAAAACGAGATTCAACGTAAGAAATCTCTTTTAATGACATCATTATTATAATCATATATATATAGGAGTCCATTTCTGTGTATGAGTCCGTTTGGGTGGCATCCCCGTTACATAATTTAGCCACAACACCGCACTGCTCCAGACCGAATTCTGGTCACAGCAGCCAGTCTCAATTGAGGCAAGCCATCTACGCAGGATAAAATTATATTACACGATTCTCTCACTCTCATGGTCCGATGGGATGGTTAAGGGGAAATATAACCTCAAATGGCTTAGCAAGATCCTCCGTTATGCCGAAAGTATTGCAGCATTAATTTTGAAATAAATATATGGTAAAGTTGAGGATTAATGTTAAGGTGTATGTTAGACGAAAACACGATTCCGTTACCTCCAAACTGAACAATAAACCGCTGTTATTCATAAAATACTTTAAATAAGATCATGAAACTTTGCATACTGACTGAACTAACCATAAAGCAGTGCTTATGTTATTTACTTTTTTTAAAATATCATTATTTTCACTGTAAAAAGAAATTACCTAAACTATCGGCGCGTAAGCTTGGTTCCTGTCGCTCCGTTAGTATTGCTCCGGCTCTTGAAGGGAGAAGTTGTGTCGCTTACGATCAGAAAACACATTACGCAACAGGAAGACGTAAAATTAAAATGGGAAATAACCGTTATAAAAATAAGAAGCGACTGGGTTGGCGTTAAGAAACAGGCATATATATGATAAACATAATGAAATAAGTATCTAACGACCTATCTACTTAGAGTATTAGTGATTACAAACATGTCGGTACATAGCATACGACGCGCGGGGAAGTGGGGGCGAAATTAAAATTTGAGCTGACTTACTCTCACCTCTTAACTGACACGACCGGAGAGAGATCAGGCGCAGGAACAACGGCTTTACGTTTAACTCCGGGCTGCTACTGAGAATTTCTTGACAGAAAACCCAATAACTTTTTTTGATCCAATCCGGGATTCGTACACGGGATCCTAAAGGTCAGCAGTTGCATTTACGATAACTAGATCGAGGTGGTTCAACAACATGTACAAAACCGGTCCCCGTAGATCATTACCGGTTCTCTAAGCATATTATATTATGATCGGCTCATTGAAACTTTTTAACGGCATAGTAAAAAAATAAAATTGTTAATACTATTATTTATTACTTTTAAAGCAAACATATTATGATTTATGTCCGCTTGTATTTTTACAGTTCCTGTGAATGCCGTGACGAAAAAGGCTCTAATTCGACGTAAGTTTTTATTTTTATAAAAAGCGTCCTTCAAGCTGGAGTCCTCTCCAATTTTAACAGTTTCCCTGTCCTAGATATAGACACAATAGTTAAACAATCGAAATGGTCATATATTGTTTTCAATATTATTTTTTTATCAATATTAATTTTCATTAGTTCAATATTATATAATAGTATTAGTAGTATAGTAGTATACTACTAATACTACTATATAATAGTATATATATATATATATATATATATATATATATATGTATATATATATATGTATATAGTACTATTATAATTATATAGTATTCATGGCACAGGAAAAGGGTTAAAATAGGAATCACATCTCAGACACAGTGCATCATACTGGTGTTTTCGACGAAGGCTAGCAGCTTAACTTGAATTTAAGTTAGTACCCTCCCAAAAAGTGTTATATTTCTTAGAGTATTGACACACTATTTTTTAGGAAGTCACCAATTGTCACCTACTCCTCACAAAATCTTCATACAATAAAATTCAGGATATGGTTGGAGAGAATACTAGCTTGAAGGACGCCAATAAATATATTATTACAGTTGGCGAAAGATAATTTAAGTTTAAAGGACTTTTTTAAATAACTACGACAAATTCTATTGAGAACTATATTAAAATTCAATATATTCAATATTCACAGAGGAAAACACGCTTAATATTTGAAATGGTTGTTCAAGAATGCTAAGTTTTCATTTATTCCATTTACACAGGGATTGCGCCTGTTCTTCATCAGCGCACGAGAATGAGAACGCCCAAAATGGCAAGCTGTCGAAGAACACAAGTTCCGATAAATACCAATGGCCTAAAAAGCTAATAAAAGCAGTTCAGCCTCGGTCTTCTAAACAAAAGCTTCAATCGTCATCATCATTAGAGAAACAACCTTCGCCCCAAAAGCTACCGTTAGACGAAAAACCGTCGAAGCTTTCATCAATAGAAGAAAAGAGTCAATCGCTAGAAGACAAGAGTCAATCGCTAGAGAAGAACCAATCAGACAGAAGGTCATCGTCAGTGAAAAAACAGTCACCGAACCAAAACGAAGAGAAACTGTCCCAACTCAAATCGTCTCAGAGTGATAGTATATCATCGAAACAAAAATTAAGGTCCTCGTCCAACGAAAGTAGACCGTCGAGGCAGGCACGTCGTTCATCAAGGGATGAACGCCCATCAAATGCTCGTCATAAATCCGCACCGGGCGAGTACCGACCCACCGACGACACACAACGTGAAGTACGACCGTCGAAGCAGCCAACCCTAGATCTGGAAGAGATTAAGCTGGGAGATAGTATAACAAGTGAACAGGAAAGCGTACAAATTCCTCATGAAGCTTCAAAACACGGTGAGATTATTATTATTGCCGTAATTTGCTTCTGCACCATCTCGTAGAATTCTAATGCCTGACATGGGACACTCCCATTACTACTAATTCCTAATGGATAAACGAACGAGTACCAGTATATGGGGTAAAACTATATATACGGATTCTATCGCTTTTAATTTACTTATTTTAACTTATTTTTAATTCCCGACGTTTCAGGCGCTTTACAGCACCCATGATCACGGGGGGGCTGAGATGTTTGACGTCTCAATGTCATAGTTAGCCCGGCTACCTTCAGTTATTAATAATTTTCAGTCAGATCTACGGAGAACCAACTCACAGTATCTTGAAGTTTTGCAGTGATATGCTTGGGTTTGGGTTAAATTTTGTTAATTACAGGATCCTGATACGTCGGAAATTGAAAATAAATAAATTAAACGCGATAGAATCCGTATATATAGTTTTATTCAATGTGTAGTGTTCGCGTAAATTTAAGAAATCATTATATGGGGTATTTCGGGAAACACGCGCCTCCACCTACCACGTGGAGTGATTTAGAAAATTCCCTAATTCTAAATTCTTTAATTTCTTTTATTATGCAGACCGATAATAATGATGACGATTTTTTTAGTTGTTTCTCTTTTTCAAAGTAGAGGTTGTAAATTAAAGCACAGGGTGTCTTAACGTGTTTTCCGTTTAAATGTAAGCTTTGAATAAGCCTTAAAATTTATGATTGACTGTGAATTTCTTTCAATTAATTATATTAGTAGAACCACTATTGGGTCGGCTGGACCGGTACGGAAAACAAATGTAAAAAGCAGCTTAATGCTGCTGCGTTTCCAATGGTGAGTATAGAGAACCGGAGAACCCTTTCAAAGGAAACGAGGCATTCTGTCTTAGTTCTCAGCGGTGTATATACATTTCTTAAGCGAATATAAGATGTAAATGTTTATGCCATAGCATTCATTTGTCAACCTTATTCGAAGTAATCTAATCTGTCACATTACTATAATTTTTATAGCAGTTGGCCTTTATTTGACATAACTCTTACAATAACTCTTACGCATCCTTAAACACAATTTTTAGATAAGTTCAATTCGCAACTGGACTATAATTTAAGTGACATCTTATTTCTCATTTACCTAGAACAAATTTTGTAACCATAAATTAAGATCACGAAATCATGAATTGTATATCATTAAGTTAAAGTCGCCGTGTAATGGTGACGTAAATGAATTCACTATTGTATATCATCCCGTGGATATCGTAAGCGACGGAGGAAAATTAAACAGGAACGAGGCTGCAGCGTCTCAGCTGCTTCAGAGAACTACTAAAAATAAGAAAAAAAACTGCAGAGCAACTACGACAGAGGGTTTCATAGAATACTATAATACATACATAATAGAACGGGGGAGTGTGCGGAGCCCGTGTAGCCACTAAGATGTCACTAACACGTCAATTCACACGCATAAATGTTAACACAACCAATTGTTTCCAATTTTGTGTCAAGCGTCGCTGTATGCAAACTATTTAAAAATGGCTAATTGGCAATAATCACGTGTCGAAAGAACAGCAGGAAATGGAATTTAAATAAAGGAGACATATTCTACAACCAGTAAGTCGAAACTATTTATATTTTGTGAATATTAGAAACAAAAATAAAGAAACATTTACGTGTCAAAAACATTAATCAAAAGTCTAAAATGTGTTTGTAGTAGTGATAACTGATAATACGACGTAATTGCTTCTATGTGTGCTTCTGGTGACGCCAATCCTCCTACAAAATAAGGTTGACAGCCATTCTATTGCGTATTATAGTATTCTATGGAGGGATCCCTTTGTAATAACATATGGAAGACACCCATTTACAGTAGAAACTTATTGTTAGTAATGTAATTAATATCTATTATCTTCTAGATGCCGCTGTGGAAATAAGATGTCCAATTTGTACGTGTGCAACACAGTGCCATAGTACAAGTTGTTATCAACACACGGCTATACTTAGTAAGACCTTAAAAGGTAAAACCAACAACTACATATTGAAGTCACATTTGCATTACTACGTCTGCATTGTTTCAAGCAACTTTGAGATCTCTGTGGAAACGTGGAATGTTATACGCCGTAAAGCCATGCTGCAGCTATATTATGGTTGCAGCACGAATGGGTCGACCGGGGAAGGACCACGCTCTCGCAGAATACCAGCGTAAAATAGCAGCTTAATGCTGCTGTGTTTCGTATGTTGAGTGTAGAGAACCGGAGACCCATTTTACTGGAAACGAGGCATTCCATCTTGGTCCTCAGGGATGACAACGCATCTACGTTATAATTGTTAGTCGAGGATAGATGTGGAGTTCTATGGGCCGCAGCATCCACATGCCGTCGGGTGGATTGTGTGCTCGTTTGTCACCTTTATTCTATAAAAATACAATTAATAAATAATTTATTTAATATAAGCATCATTGTTTCTTTAATATTTTAAAAGTTAATTAACTAAGATCCGCGTAATAAAATAATCTTGACAACTTAAGATTAACTTGACGGTCAGTCACCTGACGATGCGAAACACATGTCGTAATAATGACGGCGATGTTCCTTACCTTTCCTAGTGTCCACTACACTATGTTGTGTTGGTATTAGTAGTGACGGGACTAATGCACGCAATTGAGTGAAGGCGGTGCTCTTTTAACTAGGTAAAACACATCATTTTATTTTATTACCCAGATCTTATTTATTTATTTTATTCTTTATTGCATCCTTAAGAGGATAGAGTAAGTCAGCTCAAATTCTAATTTCGCCCCCACTTCCCCGCGCGTCGTAAGCTATGTACCGATATGTTTGTAATCACTAATACTGTAGAAGGGTCGTTAAACACTTATTTCATTAGGTTTATCATATTTATGCCTGTTTCTTAACGCCAAGCCAGCCGATTCTTATTTTTATCACGGTTATTTCACATTTTAATTTTACGTCATACTGTTGCGTAATGTGTATTCTGATCGTAAGCGACACAACTTCTCCTTTCAAAAGCCTAAGCGATACTAACGGGGCGCCAGAAATCAAGTTTCAAGACGCCGATAGTTTAGGTAATTTCTTTTTACAGTGAAAATAATGGTATTTTAAAAAAAGTAAATAACATAAGCACTGCTTTATAGTTAGTTCAGTTAGTATGCAAAATTTCATGATCTTATTTAAAGTATTTTATGAATAACAGCGGTTTATTGTTTATTTTGGAAGTAACTTTGGATTTTTTTTCTATCGAGAAAATTTTACGAAATCGTGTTTTCGTCTAACATAATCATTAACATTAATCCTCAACTTTACCATATATTTATTTCAAAATTAATGCTGCAATATTTTCGGCATAACGAAGGATCTTGCTAAGCCATTTGACATTATATTTCCCCTTAAACAAAAGAATACAACCAGATAGCCAGATCTTAGATAATTTTTAATATCATTAACATAATGAATTCATTATGATGCCTAATTCTATTAATGATCATTATATTTGGACAACAAACATCGTTTCAAACGTGATAGCGCCACGCTGCAGCTATGTTATGGTAACATATATGGGTCGACTCGACCGGAAAAGGAACACAATCTCTCAGAATACCAGCGTAAAATAACTGCTTAATGCTGCTGTGTTTCGTATCGTGAGTATAGAGATCCGGATACCGGAAACGAGCCATTCCATTCCATCCTCTGGGGTGACAACGATCTGTGTTTTAATTCTTAATCGAGGATAAATGTAGATGTCTATGGACCACAGCATCCACTTACCATCTGGTGGACTGTGTGCTCGTATGTCACCTTTATTTTGTTTAAAAAAAAAGTGTTTTCACCTATTTCCACTTAAAGGCTTATCTAGGACTTTCATCTAGGGCTCTAATTGTTTTCTCAATATAGTACTCCTAATCTCATATCTAATTATACACACACAGACCTAACTAGACGCTGAATAGTGTGAACCATATTAGAATCCACTACCCTATATCATCCTATAGAGGTCGTAAAAGGCGACAGAGGGAAACTAACAAGTAGATGGGTAGCATCATCTTTCTGATAACAAATGTAAACAAAATACTGCGATTTTACACTCCCTGCCATGCGTGGCAACTTTGGTAAATCAAACCTAAAGAGCAAGCTATATGGTAGTCCTATATTCAGCAGAGACTTTTTGACAAACTGTAATGAATATATGAATGAAACATCATCACGTTAAACGTGATTTATTGAACACTAGCGAACCTCTACAACAGCTCCATCTACCGGATCCAATTGTGAATACAAACCATCCAAGGACCCACTCAAACACACACAAACATTTTTATCAGAATCGCTCGAGCCAGTTTAGAGTTTCAGCCAGGCTAACGGACAGCAACTGATTTTTATATATAGAGACATTGATATAAGAGTACATAAATGACAAGATATGGCCGAGCGAACAAAAATTGTTCACGGTTTAAGGGGAAATATAACCTCAAATGGCTTAGCAAGATCCTCTGTTATGCCAAAAATATTGCAGCATTAATTTTGAAATAAATATATGGTAAAGTTGAGGATTAATGTTAAGGACTATGTTAGACGAAAACACGATTCCGTAAAATTTTCTCGATAGAAAAAAAATCCAAAGTTACCTCCAAAATAAACAATAAACCGCTGTTATTCATAAAATACTTTAAATAAGATCTGAACCATACTAACTGAACTAACTATAAAGCAGTGCTTATGCTTTGTTTGCTTTTTTTTAAATACCATTATTTTCACTGTAAAAATAAATTACCTAAACTATCGTCCTTTTGAAACGTGATTCCTGCCGCTCGGTCAGTTTCGCTTCGGCCTTTGAAGGGGAAGGTTGTGTCGCTTACGATCAGAATACACATTACGCAACAGGACGACGTAAAATTAAAATGGGAAATAACCGTAATAAAAATAAAAAGCGACTGGGTTGGCGTTAAGAAACAGGCATAAATATGATAAACCTAATGAAATAAGTATCTATCGACCTATCCTACAATATTAGTGATTACAAACATGTCGGTACACAGAATAGGACGCGCGGGGGAAGTGGGGGTGAAATTAGAATTTGAGCTGACTTACTACATCCTCTTAAGCATAGAATAAATCAGTGCTATCTCTTAAATACTCATGAGGTACCACGGAACCAGTGTTTTCACTTATGATTTTGGTTTTACCATAGAACCTGTAGAAAGAAATACTCTCTAAATTATCGTAAAAAAAAAATCAAAATGGCCTTATTTATTTTACCTAATTTTCAATATTTTAAAGAATAACATGATTGTAAGATTTGAACATCATTTCCCGATTTAAAATCGTCAGAAGACTTCAGTCTTCTTACGATCGGGAAAGACGTTCTCATTTTCAAATTATAATAACACCTAGTCTCATATGAATAACGAATATGTAACTAAGTAATAATATACCATTATTCTAATCTATTTATTATTTTATTTACTAAAGCAAAACTTTTCATTCCACACTTTTCTAGCTCTTAACCCTAATCAATTCAATAAATCTTTAGAAAAAAGACATAGAGTGGGAATAAAAATCAGGATTACATGAAGTTCGGTTTTACCCTAAATTATCCAAAACTCTGTGAACTTGAAAAAACGCCTAAAGCCCTACCTATATTAGTAGACTTACCATTAAATAGTGCAAAATATCTAAAAGTGGAAACACTACACGGAGGCACGGCATGCATGCATGGTGGTCATGTTGGTGCTTTATATACATTTTAGCACCAATGAGTCGGTGTTATTTTGTTTGTTCAATGACCCGGTCCATTCTACTGCGTATGGACCAGGTCATTGAACAAATACGATAAGTCTAGCTATAGAGATTAAAACTTGCCAAGTTATGCACCTCCACTAACATATGTATCTTTTAGAAAACATCTACGAAGACATCCCAACTCCTGACTACACTTTCGATGACGACGAAACGCTGTTCAGCGATTTCACTAGCGACGAAAAATCTGACACAACTGTACAAAGCACACGTTGTAATCATGTTGCCGTTGAATTCTGTGACAAACTGATGAAAACCAAAAAGACTTGCAAAACGTGCTGTGGGCGACTGTCGAAAGAACCACTTAAAAGAAACAATCAAGCAACAACTACAGATAAAACTAAATTCAAAGACGTCAGCACGGTGACGAAAGATTGGTGGAGTCCAATGTGCGAGAAAAAATATAAAAAACCATGTAGTAATAAGAAAAAATACAAGAAAACAAGCGATAAATGTATCTCTACGGATGGACGTCTGGTCACGTTCCGGAGTCGAACGCAACTAATACCGACTTGTAAGTGAATGTTATTTTTTTTTAATAATTGTTATTATTCATTGATTTCAAAGCAAATATCCATGTTTGTTTATAATATACTAGCTGGTTTTGCGCATTGTTGCCGCAGAAGAAAATATTCTGGAAATATCGTTTAAAATTTACAAGAGTCATATTGATTAATTAAATTCGAAACTCAATCGTCAACTGAGTACGGCACGATAAGCTAAATTGTATCAGTTCCAGCGATAAATAAAAAAATCCATGTTGGTTAACCCTATACTTGGCAGGACTTTTTTTATCCTAAAATTTAAATTTTTTTTGGTAAAAGTAGTTTAGTTAGGGTCTAAATGGTACGGTAAAAATGAAAATAAAATTCTTACTTTTGTAGTTCAAGAAATATTTATTATATCTTTAAAGATACCGTGCCAGATAAGCCGCAGATCAAATAAAAATTGGTTCGTATCCCAAAAGATACTCTGCCAGATGCGTAACAAACAAAAAAATAAAATTCTACATACAAATTAATTAATTAACTTCCTAAATTTAAAGTTTCTTATAGTATTAAGTAACATTCTTTTAATTTAATTAAAAACAAACATATTTTTTATTTCTATCGCACAAATGAATCATAAACTATCTTAGAATTACAAATTATTAATTTCAAATCTAAAAACCTTACAACAGATTCTTTTGACAAACAAATTTCTATTTATGGTGGCTACAACCCCGAAATTGTGACTAATTTAATTTCAACAAAACAAAGGTTTCCATTATCTGAAGTTACATGTTGCATCTTATTAGATAAATCTGAAATGAATGTGTAATGACATAATTCAAATTACTAAGTATTTAGCATACGTCCTTAAAAAATAATTAAGTATGAAAAAAAATTAAATTTCTTTTAACATTTTAAATCATAGTCATAGCTCAATTTTTGAGATCAGTACCTGAGAATATTAATCATTATGAATTGCCACATTTTGTGTACAGTCTTAGATATATTTAGGTATATCAAAAATAGATTATTTGTTTATTATGTATGAAAAACCTGGTAACAATTGCGCTCTCTAACCAAGCAAAGTCTTACATTATATTTTTGACAGAAAACCGTTGTTTGCCTCAATTAGCAAAAACGACATCTTCCTTTAGAATAAAATGTTGGTAAATGATCAATTTTATCATAACGCACATCATCGCTAGGCCTCTCTGTTGGCTTAGGATTTGTGATTACAGCTTGGTCACGAATGCTGTTTTTTTCATACATAGTCTGTCAAACTTGAGTAGACTTTCATTTTTTTCCCCTCGTCGGTATAAAATCCATGCATTATTAATGCAAATATTGAGCATTTGGGAGAAAATAGGCAAATACCAGCGATGATCACGTAATTCTGTTCAGTATAAAGCTATCAGAATATCCGCCAGTTCTATGCTTCCCATATTAGTGTTATATTCTTTGATCAGACGAGGACATGAGACTGGCAATATTTTTTGGCATCTTTGATATATCGTGGCACTGTCTCCATAGGAAAAGAATAAACATAAGAGCTGGCTGCAGTAACGCATTTATTATTGTACCACTTGCAAGCGACTATTTTGTTTTTATTACAAACAACTTGAGCGTGAGAGCTGAGATGGTCTTTTGCTTCCAGCTCTTGTGCCTTTATATGGCACCATCATCTCGTCTATACTAAAGCGAGTCTCCTCTTCTGTTTTAAGCAATTTTCCCGTACTTTTTGCTGTTGATGGAGCTGAACTGGATGCACAAACTCTTTGTAAAGGCGATAAAACCTCAGTTGACTTGTATCCAAACAAAATTGACGGCCAGCAGGGATTGGAATCTTGTGAATTCCGAAATAACGCTGGGGCATCATTCACAACATCAGTAGTCTCTTCGTCAGATAATAAGTGCAGATTTTCAAAGGCAAAGATGGTGATGAAGAACTGCTATTAGAATTGTCTGGCAGGACATAATTCTGCATTTCATCAATTCACTACATTCTATATCAGATTTGGCTCCAGGTTTTGGAATTAAAGCCAAAATTTTGCGTGTTCTATTCCGTTGTTCATCTGAAAAAGTACGCTCAGTACGTTCAACATAAAAAACTCGAACAACAAAATATCTACGTATGATAATGATGCCCTAATGTCGTATTATGGCAAAAGTTAACAATAACGAAACGCTGGGAAATATAATATATTATAATACATTTATTTTTTCTTAAAACTGAATTAAATATTCAAATTGTTTGCCTTCGGCAAAAAAGGCTCTGCCTCGTCTCAGAAAAGATCTTTTCACTATTAGTTATTGGATTTGTGACTACAATCAATAGCCTAATCATTTAGTATTACATTAAAAAAAAAAACACTGTAAAATTCAGAAATTTATAATCACAGTACCTAAATATGTGATCTAGGGTGTTGATTTTCAACGTTTTTAAAAGTATAGGTACCTATTATCATTTAACCAAGTAACATGGAATTGATTTTTTATTTTTGCTAAGTTAATTGTATTATACCTATATCCTTCGCGCAAGCAATAAGTTGATTAAGTTGTAGCGCAATCTGATGAACGAAATGACAGCGTATATATTACGAATAAACAAACATTAATTTTTATATACATTACATAATCTAAAGGCCTATTACCTAGTGCTAATGGTCATAATTAATATAATTAAAATTAACAGACAAACCAAGGTCAAGGCTATTTACATTATTAAGTTTTATCCAATGTCCCACACCACCTCATTGGTGAATCCTGTCAATCCGCTGGTACGCTAAAGACGATGTTTGTGACCGAATGCGCTCATGCGCATGGAGGCACGTCTGCGTATTATGGCTTCAAACTCATCAACACGTGCCTCTGCAAACATGCCAGAGACACTACAATACCACGGCAACTCCATTAGAATTCTGAATGCATTATTGTATTGGCCGCGCAGATCGTTGTATGCCCTCCGCGTATAGTTCACCCACATGCTGCATGTACGGAAGGACTGACATGGCAATGGGCTTTGAAAAGCGTAAGTTTAATCTGTTTATTATATCGTGCAAACCTATGGCCCAATATTATATCGAACAGCCAGTGACCTGCACTCTCGCTCTAGATCAGTATTGTCACTCAGGTCTTCGGTGGATCATGGCCGAAGTACTTAAATTACACAATTTTATTAAGTGGTAGAGTGGTTCCTATTTACTTACAAGTCCGTTTAGGTTGGTAATATGTACCTAATTTATGGGTACTACCAAATTGCTATTTCTTTCTTCAAGCAGAAGTACACCGCTGCTGTGTCGAGGTTTAAAAATAAGTGAGGGTATGGTCACCTGCTGTGAGGAGTTCCATCTTCATTCTCATGAGGGTGATTACGCATATTTGGCCTATTTTGTTTGCCATTGGTTACAATGTCTTTGTCCATGTGCTGCGCTGGCCACTTAATACCACTTGGACTTTTAGTGCTTTTGTCATTCCAATATCATAAAACAATAGTATATTGATAGTATTTTCTTCATCATCATCACATACTACGTACTTTACAAACAGTCCACTGCTGCAAACCAAAAAAATCCACATGAAATAGTCTAAAATATGGTTGTTATAATATAATTAAACGACTAGTGCGGCGTGTAGTCGAGGTGAAATAAAATCCGCTACTCGTCTGTGTGTCGTAAGAAATAACAGAGGTAAACTGGAACAAAAGATAGCCAGCAGATTTTTCGTGATAACAACTCAATACAATAAAAGCTGCAGTTACTAAGCATGGCGTGGCAACTATGGCAAATATCGCCCCTATGAGTATCTTTAATAGTCTGTTATAATCATAGAATACTATAACACATAGATAATAGAACGGGGGGGTGGGCGGAGTCCGTGTAGCCACTAAAATGTCACTAACATGTCTCATCACACGTATAACTGTCAACACGAGATGTGTTTTGACGTTACAATCGTTTCCAAATTTCGCATGCAAATTATTTAGAAAATGCCAAATGTGCAATTTGCTATTTAGAAATAAATATGTATTAAAATCCGCCTGTCAATACAGCGAATCGGGTTTGTAGTAGTGATAATACGACGTAATTGCTTATATGTGTGCTCGCGGCGACGCCGACTCTCGTACAAAATAAGGTTTACAGCCATTCTATTGTGTATTATAGTGTTCTGTGGTTATAATGACGATGATGATGATGATGATGATATTGAAACAACTAGTGGGTGCTAAGCTTTTAATATAAATTCTTAAAATGATCACACCTTCAATTTCCTTCGGACGCATCTAGTGCTTGCCTACTCTAACGTTGACAATACTTCCCCTATTAATCATTGACGTAGGACGTCATGAAGCTATCGACAAACCTTCTGTGAGCGGGTTGTACATATATTTTCAATGTATATTGTAACCCCGCGTAGCGAAGTGGTAATAGAACCTGGCTTTTGTGTTGTGGGTCGCAATTCTCTTGTGATTGAACCAGTCTCAATTCCAGTGCATCCTACTTCGAACACTATCGCGAAAGCCACTATGTATGCGCTTACACTCGTTGCGCTATTATATCTATTACGCAGTTGATTGTTCGGAATTGTCCACTGTTGGACATGGGCCCTGTCCCGTCTATAGGACTTTTCATCACGCCAGGATTGGCAGACGGACTTGCTATCGCAGACCAGACGTCTCGTACAGACGCTACTACCGTGATGTGTACTATTGTACCGAGATGGTAATACCGCCATTTATCGAACACCATGCGATACGGATCTGAGACGTGGGCCTTCACTGCTGGCCGTATGAGGCGGCTCAAGGTCGCTCAGCGAGCTATGGAGAGGGCTATGCTCGAGGTTTCTCTGCGTGACAAACTTAGAAATGAGGATATCCGCAGTAGAGCCAGAGTAACCAACATAGCCCAACAGATTAGTAAGCTGAAGTGGCAATATAGCTCGAAGAACCGACAACCGATGGAGAAAAAAGGTTCTCGAGTGGCAAACTCGTACCTGTAGACGTAGTGTAGGGTGACCCCTCACTAGATGAAGTGACGACCTGGTAAGACATGCAGGCAGTCGATGGTTGTAGGTAGCTCAAGACCGTGCTTTGTGGCATTCCTTGGGGAAGGCCTATGTTCAGCAGTGGACGTGTGGTGATGATGATGATGATGATGGGATCCTTCTGGGATTTCCGGGGTTCTTTTGACATATTTTTTTCCTTTTTATGGTAGTACTTTTGAACTTTAAAATGTCTTCTTTCTTATTTCTTGCAGGTTGTCGCGATGTTTTATCACCATCAAGATATCTTCTAGAGGTAAGAAATCTATATTAACCAAGGCGTGAATTTCATTTGTCTAATTCACTTTCTAGTGTTACCATTATCATTATAGACTATCAAAACCACTAAACATAGACCCCTTACATAAATTGTCCCATAGGGTCTCCCCCTACCATAGTTTCTATAGATTTACCATAGTTGCCACGCTTGACAGGGTTGGCACTGCAGTTTATTAATTTTTAGTTGTTATTAGGAGAGCGCTGCATCTGTGCGAGCCGTAGCGGCTAAGGATGGCCTACAAAAAAGTCGAAGCTGCGGTAGTGAGCAATGAGCATGGGTGCCTGTGATTTGGTACGCAAGGGCGAAGGGGATTCACTTACCACAGCTCCGTAGCTGTTACATTTCGAAATTTTTGTTTTTATTTTTTGTAAAATATTCTCCAACTACCCATCACTCTATTTTTTCCAACTCTAAAAAAGTTCATCCAGTATAAATGTACCAACCCTGTGGTTCCCGTTAACTGCGTTACCAGAATCGGTATTCAAGCGTATAGAAATATTTTTTTTTTCAAAAAACTCGACCATAATTTTTTTTATTTAATTTTAAAAATAATATTTGCAAATTGTGTGCTTTTCGTTATTCAAACTCGCACGAGTATCGGTAATACGGGGTGTTTGACAATCATCTTACTCCTCGGCCAATGCAGAGATAATAAAACCACATACGACTAACAAGTTATTTTTTATTTTAAATAAATTTTTTTTAAGTTTTTTTTTCTGAAAAAAAATATACTTCTATACGCTTGAATACTGATTCTGATAACGCACTTAACGGGAACCACAGGGTCTTTGTTACATGTTGTATAATATATTCCGTTACGCCATACAAATATCATTAAGGAGTACATCGGACACTGCAAGCGCTATCGCCAATTCTGCATTAATGGCGTTTACGACTTGACTGTCAAAACAGGAACAAACCTCTTTATTGTTAACAGCTAGCATAGTTTGATGTATTTTTTTTAATTATACTCTACCTTTTTCTAGTCTCAACGGCAGTACAACGAGATCTTCACCTCCAAATTCTTCGGGAACACTGTGTATCCAGCTTTGGTGGTTTGTTAACACTTTATTTTTCTTAAATTGTTTCGTCGGACTGATAAAGTTTATCCAGATGTATCTTTAATTTATTAATGTAAATAAAGTTGAAATGTCTGTTTGTGATATTTAAACAAACTGGCTTCTATTAGGTTCAGTAGGTAATTTGAATGCTATTAACATATAAATCAATGGTTGTTAAGGTGCGTGTTGGAGCAAAATGCCGCGCTAGTCGTTATTTGAGAGGATTTTAGGAGCAATCTACTTGTTATTAAAAAAATATATCAACTAATAAAAGATCTACTAAATTTCTACATAATCTTGATTTCATAATAGCCAACTCCAATTCTTTTTAAAAGGAGTAAATACTTGACGAATCTTTCTACAACTAAACCACAGAAATGCGAAATAATTATAGATAACATGCATCTCCTTATAAAGTAAGCATTATTTTATTATGCGATTGACACTAAAGGATAGGCAATTTATTAATGAACATTTTGATCAATTTATTTTTTCAAAGGACTAAAATTTGATTTTATAAAGAAAATATTTTAAAATTTGAGCGTATTTCAAGGTCGTTCGCTAGGAGTAAAGGCGCCACCGCGAAAAATTGCACCTCCTTTCATCGAATAGTATAAGACTATGACTCCACTCAAAAGTGGAATTTTGATATAAGTAAATTCATGTTGAATTAGTTGTTTATGTTGAATTTGCATGTTCAAAAACACGATTATGTAATTTTGACTCGATCGTAATTATTTGCGAAAACACCTCTAAAATATCACCTTAGTTAAAATTACAACGAAATTACTTAATCTATATGCTTGGGAATCACTCAAATATATTCATTACATCAGTATTCATAATTTACTTGCTCATTACTTTGATTACTTAAATCGATAATTTTTTTTTAATATTTTGAGATTCTGAGAGTGACAATTTCTAAGCAGTCTTAATAGTCGCGAGTGCTACGCAATTTTAGACCTTATGAAGGTGTTTTTTTAAGTCTTAAGACATAAATAACCATTTCTCTGTCTGTTTGTCGAGCCTAATCTTCTGAACCACAGAACCGATTGTGATAAAAACTTTACAAGCAGATACAGAGCAATTACCAGGAGGGATTTATTTAATCTGAAAAGTATAGTTTTTTTTTAAACCGAAGAATTGATAAAATAAATGGTCTTTGATTATCTTATAGATCCCATCCAGACAAAGACGGGGTTGGTTGTTAGTTAAAAAAATAAAATTTTGAATACCGTACCTGATTTTAAAAACGATATATTGAATTAATTTAAATATTAAAGCGTATTATAAATCCAGCTCGAGTGGATCGGCTCGACCGGGGAAGGACTATGCTCGCAAAGCATACCAACGTGAAATTGCAGCACGGTTTTACGGAGTAAAGAGAACCGAAGACACTTCCTACTATTAATAAGGCGTTGCATCTTAATCCACAGGGGTGACAAACATTTTCATTTTGTTTTTTTTTGTTTTTAAATCCAGAATGTACTCGTACGTATGTGCAGACCATATTAGCATTCATTTACTATGAGATATGTGTTTGGTTTTGATTTAACTGTATTTTTGTTAATACAGCACCATCACAAGCAAGGCGGATTTTGTGCTTCCAAAATTAAACGAAACTCGCAGCGGGGTAAGCAAAGTTTTATTTTCATTTTTTATTTATTGATCATAGAGTTGAATTATTGGTTACGTAGTCCAATTTTAATGAATTCAACGGTAAATTTAAAAAGACCGGCCCAATATTGCGGGTTATTTAAAAAAAAACTAATTTAATGGTATGTTGACACCGATAATTTAGTATAGTTTAAGATTTTTTCTCAAAATGGTTTTATTTATTATTATTATTTCAATTTATAAAAAAATATTATTATGTAATTATTCAAAATTCAAAACAAGTCGAATGAAATTTTGCCGCAAACTCCATTATTTTCTATATTTAGGTATTAACTATTAAGGCGACACCGTGAAAAAATGCACCTCCTTTCGAAATCGAATATTATAAAGACTATGACACCACTAAGGAAAGTGAAATTTTGATATAGGTAAATTCATGCCTTTATCTTGAATTTTATTGTTCAAAAACACGATTGTATAATTTTGACTCGATCATAATTATTTGCGAAAACACCTCTAAAAAATCACTATAGTTGAAATTACGACGAAATTACTTAATCTATATGCTTGGAAATCAATCAAATATATTCATAACATAAATATTCTTAATTTACTTGCTCATTATTTTGATTACTTAAATCAATAATTTTTAAAAAATATTTTAAAGTTTCTGAGAATTTCTAAGCGCTTTTAATCGTCGCGGGCGCTACGCTGTTTTAGACCTTATGACGGCGTTTTTTCAAGTTTTTATAGAAATTATGTATTCACTCGGATCAGTACGGCGATAGCCTTTTCGATGTGTCGTCTTAAATATTACACAGAAGTTATTTTAGGAAATAGCATTACGTTCACACAAAACATTGTAATAACAGTTTAGTGGCATGTAAGAATATCGGCAAACCATAATCGTCTCGTGGGTGTCGTAAGAAGTGATAGACGGAATCAAATCAGTAGATGGGTCGCAGCGCCTTTCTAATATATATATATATATATATATATATATATATATATATATATATATATATATATATATAATATTCCACAACTATCACACAACGTCATCTAGTCCCAAGCTAAGCAGAGCTTGCGTTATGGGTATTAGACAACTGATAAACATACTTATATATTTCTAAATACATAAATATTATAGATAAATTACACCCAGACACAGAACAAATGATCGTGCTCATCACACAAACATTTGTCCTGGATGGGAATCGAACCCACGACCTCCGGCGTAGCAGTCAGGGTCACTAACCACTAGATCAACAGGCCGGCAGACAACCTTAAACTTTGCCTCCTTATGAAACCAAAACTAGGAGAAGGACAGAGACAAAAACACAAAGTCGTATACCATAACTAATATATTAAGAAAAAGATAGCAAACAAACTTTGGCAACAATTAGGAACACTTCGAAAAGTCTAATTAAAAAAACTAACTACACTACACCATAATAAAATCGACTAAAACATTTACTATAATGTCAACTGTAAAAATAGCGTCGATAAAGCCTTTAGACCCTTTAGTATTTTATTGACTTAGTATTGATTGATTTTTGAGTTACAAAAAAGTGACCGGATTAACCGGATGACCGTAGTTTAGTTTAGTTAGTTTACGACGGGCTGTTTTCCGCAACTCAACGTCTAAGCGCGTATTTTGTGTGTGGGCAGGAATAATGTGGTTATTCGAGCCATGATATCTCCCCGACGAAGCTCAGCAGTCCCTTGATGTTGCAAGCAACTTCGGGGTGTGATCCCGGCGTGCCGAGATGTTTAACCCTGTGTGAAAGACATGTCAGCAACACTTGAGCCGCCGTTTCTTCCTCTCTCATGCATGCCCTGCACAGGGGGCTGTCAGTAACACCTATGGTGAACAAATTTTTGTTAAAGGAGCCATGTCCTGTAATAGCACTTGTTACTATCCTGATCTGTGGCTTGTTCAGTCTCATTAATACCTCGGTTAGACGACTGTTTATTTCAGGTAGGGCCTCCCTAGCTTGTCTACAGTCTACTAAATTTTTCCTAAGCTGAGCGTGTAAATTATTGAAGTATCTACGTACCAGAGAACGAACGTAGCCAAAGGGGATTGGTATTATTGGTTCCGGCCCTATAGATGACCTTATTACATTCACGTACTGTAACAATTAGAAATTAAAAAAAAACTACGCTTGCTAACCCGGTTGCCAAGCTTGGCAACTGTGGCAAATATCCCCATTATGATGAGGCTTACGTTCAGCAAGGAACTTACATAGGCTGAATGAAAGATTCTTTGAAATTGAAGACTTTATAGGCTGAATGAGTAGAAATGAATAACATTTTTGATGCTCGATGACTAGGCAGAAGTTTAAAATTATACTATGCTTAATGAACATATAATAAAAGAAACTTTATACACTAAAGTACTTCAATTTCAGGTCACAAGACAAAAAGGCTAGAGGATTTCTCACCAAGGCAACAGGTACCGTTCAAACAATAATACGCCATATATTTTCAAATACAGTTCAGCTCTTTACTTATTCTTTAATTTATTTTGCAACTACAAAATAATAATTACCCTTTTTGTTCGATATTTTATTTATTTATATAGAAAAAGGGCGAAAAACAAGTACACAGTCCACCCGTTGGAAAGTGGAAACTGCGGCCCATAGACATCTACAATTATTATACCTCGATCAAATATTGAAGATGCAGATGCGTTGTCGCTTTTAAAGAATCAGAATGGAACGCTTCCTTTCCAACAAAAAGGGGTCTTCGGTTCTCTACACTCACGATATAAAACACAATAGCATTAAGCTGCTATTTTACGCTGGTATTCTGTGATAACGTGATACTTCCCCTGTCGAGCCGAACCGTTCGTGCTGCAAGCATAATATGGCTGCAACGTATCTCTGCCACGTTCTACAGTTAGAAGTGATAACGTACGCTGTCTATAACATTTGCATTACACTTAACACGTAAAGAGAATAAAGTGGTTATTTTCTCCTACATTTTTTTTAAATTATATAACATAGTAAGTTATACGATAGCTTATGATTAATCTAAATTGACCACGGCGCCATAAACCTAAGCCAAATCGCTTAATATAATGTTCGATCAAGGGGTGGAACGACATTTATTCTTCTTTTTAAACCTTAAGTTACACCTACGTCCAGCAGTAAAGACTGCTGCAGGCTGATGATAATAAGGGTGACCATGGGTTAGTGGAAGTTATAGTTCAGAGCTATGCTTAAAGTTAAATTTTCTATTTAAGTCAAGTATTGCAGGGACCGGAGGACGTTTTAAAAATATTAAGTTATTAAATAAAAGACGTTTAATCGCTAACAGAACTCTACAAAGATTTACTTAAATTATTTCAAAACAATTGCTCAAAACAATTGCATGAGAGCCTACGCAGAAACTTAGCAGTTTCCGTGTCAATTCAGCATCTGCCTGTGATCTGCTTTCAAAAGATTCGGTGACGCTGACCCATCAAGAGGGTCCAATCACCCGTAACAAGTTACAGTGACAAAAACTTACAGAATTGAAACATTTACTCGTATTGTCCTTTACTTAATGTAGAAATGGGCGAAGAAACGAAAGTAACTTGATAATTTTTTTTATTGACAGTTACCGGCAAGTCCCAAAATAAGCGAAGAACATGCGCGCTCAGACGATACTACGAGACCTGCTTTAAGATACGTAAAAGGTCTGAGACGCTACAAGCACAGGTACTGCGACCTACATTTTAATAAGCTTTGTATAAATAATTATTTCTTACGGACCTAATTTTGGTCATGGGTGTATAGATGTATGTCCATTGGCACCGAATCCACTTAGCATAAACTAGGCTAGCTAAGAATTTTTTGACAGAAGAACCCAATAACTGGTTATGGGTTGATCCGGGATTCAAACCCCGAACTTTGCCTGGCAAATCTAACTTTGAATCTTTGTATTCACCTATAGCAGTATAATAATATGTTTAAGTAATCTACTGTTATCATTTTTAGTTATTTACGTAGTACATTCCTTCTGTAAACTTTTTTTATAATCTTTTGCGCACCAATAATAATGACATTTTATAATTAGTTTTCAAAGAATTCCAAATTTATTCTGGTTCCACACTTACAAAATACAATGTCAATAATAATGTTGATTTGGGCGAAACAAGCGAAGCTTCGGAGTGGAATTAAGTGAATTAGTGTGTTTAAATTATTAGTGTTTTAACTTTAATTGTGTAAAGTAAATTAAAGTGTTAATTTAGGTAATTTTATCGGCAATTTTTATTGTCACGAACCTCAAGCTCGTAACAATTGGTGTCAGAAGTGGGATAAAATCATGCCGATTTTACCTAAGGAGGAAACGGAGGGTGTCCGTACCCGAAATCAACGCCAGCAGGAGACGGACCAAAGAAGATTTGGTGGTGCAACGCCGCTGACGTCGGAGGGCCAGCCGCCGGCTGCAGGCCCGTCAGTAGCTCCTCCATCTGCAGCACCCGATTTAGGTGCTCTGATGGTGATGCTGCAGGAACAGGCCCGTTGGTTGAAAGAGCAGCAGGAGGAACAGGCCCGCCGACAGGAAGAGCAGATTCTCCTCGTGAAGGACATCCATGCTAACTTCGGGAAAGAGATTAGGGAGGTGAAGGATAGGGTTGCTCAACATGACAACCGCCTGTCGGAAGCTGAAACCCAAATCAAGGAAGCTAAAACCCAAATCGACCAAGTAAACAATCGGGTTGATTACGTGATGGCTGACGTGAAGAAAACGCTGGACGACCTCAAACTGGGGGATGGAACTACAGCTCCCGTAGTAGCTATTACACCTTCGCTACGTGGGTTCAAGGTGCCACCATTCGACGGGACTTCTTCCTGGTCAGCCTACAAAATCCAGTTCGAGGCTGTTATGAAGGCGAACGGCTGGAATAAAAGTCAGGCCATGACTGCTCTCACACTAGGCCTGCGCGACCAGGCCTTAACAGTTCTGGAAGCTCTCGGTGAGGAAGTGACTTATGAGCAACTCCTTGAGGCATTGGAGGCGCGATATGGCGACGGTCACCTGGAACACGTCTTTCGTGCGCAGCTTAAAGATCGTGTGCAGCGCATCAACGAAAACCTGCAGCAGTGGGCTCTAGAAGTGGAGAAGCTGGTGCGAAAAGCATACCGGTCTGTACCTGCGCTCATTGAAGGGAACCTGGTGCAGACATTCATCGACGGCATCCGCGACCTGGAAGTCAGAGCTGCTGTGAGGCTCGGGCACCACGAGACGCTTAAGAACGCCTTGGCCCATGCACTGGAAGTGGAAGCCGTGCGGCAGGATCATCGTTCCCATCGCGTCAGGGAGGTTGCAGCAGCTACAGTTCGCGCCCGCAACAAAGGATACAGCCCAAGGTGCTATGGCTGTGGGGAAAAAGGGCCATCTTCGATCCAGCTGCCCTAAGCGAACCCTAGAAAGGGAGGGAAATTGAACGATCTCAGGAGGGTAGTGCGGCCAACAGCACCGCCCAGCAGCGGCAGGGAAACGAGTAAAAGCCAGAACTGCGGGGCGGGTGCTGGCTGATGTTAAAAGAGCCCCAAGGATCTCGATCTCACAAACCCATGATGGGAACAGCCTAATCATAAAGGGCGAGATCAACGGAATGCCGTGTAAGCTGACCATAGACACTGGAGCCTCTCGTACGGTTGTTAGTTCCCAACTTATAAGTCAGTTCCTTGGGGACTCCGCATACAACCGAGAACGCCTTAATTTGGTAACAGCCACCGGTCAGCGTATACCCGTCCGTGGAGAGAAGGAGATGGAGTTGAAGCTAGGCAACGTGGTCTACCTGCATAATGTCATCGTGGCTGATATAATGGACGACTGCATCTTAGGCCTAGACTTTATGAGGAATAATTGTTGTGAGATCGACGTTAAGCAAGGTGTTTTGAAATGTGGACAGGAGGAACTTTTTATGGAAGGTGCGTTACCAGGGAACGTGTACAGCATCAAGAAGATTGTTCTTCCGCCGAGATCGGAAACGATTGTTCCGGTTAGTCTACCTCGAAACGCTGGGCAAGCTCACCGTTGTGTACTTGTGGAAAGGGTAAACAATGACCTTCCATGGAAAGTAGCTCGAACCTTGGTCAGGACCACTGACATCTCAGGAGTACGTGTGCTGAACCTTTGCGACCGGGAACAGATTATAGAAAAAGGCACACTGGTTGGTACTTGTGAGGAAGTGGATTGGTTACGTCAGTGCCAATATATATCGAGTGGGACCCCCAGCAAGGATTCAGAAACGAGAGTGACCACACTTTTGGAAGACTGTCGCAGTGTTCTGTCCCCGAACGAATTGGTCAAGGCGAAGAAGTTGTTACTCAAGTACGCCGATGTATTCTCATCAAATGATGCTGACATAGGAAAGACTGGCCTAGTTCAACACAAAATAAACACAGAAGAGGAATTGCCTATCCGTCAGCGGCCAAGAAGATTGCCGGTAGCACGTTAAAAGGAAGTGGAAGTGGATGATTGAATGAATGGTGAAGGATGGTGTTATTGAACCTTCCTCTAGTCCATGGTGTTCACCAGTGGTGCTGGTGAAAAAGAAGGATGGCAGCATGCGGTTCTGTGTTGATTACCGCCGTCTGAACGACGTTACAAAGAAGGACAGCTATCCCTTGCCAAGAATTGATGACACGCTGGACATGCTTACAGGAGTAAAATGGTTTAGCACGCTGGATCTAAAAAGTGGCTACTGGCAAGTTGAAATTGACCCTAAGGACAAGGAGAAAACTGCGTTCTCGACGGGAAAGGGTCTGTGGCAATTCAAAGTAATGCCGTTTGGGTTGTGCAATGCTCCAGCAACGTTTGAAAGGCTGATGGAACTTGTACTTACCGGGCTAATTGGCGATGCCTGTCTGGTCTACTTGGATGACATCATCATCGTGGGCCGTACGTTTGAGGAACACCTTCAAAACCTGGAACGCGTGCTCATGAAGATTCAGAGTGCCAACCTCAAGTTGAGCCCGAAGAAATTTTCACTATTTCAACGGCAAGTTAAAGGATTAGCCGGTTCCAAAAGACAAGACGCAGGTTAGAGCATTTTTGGGTTTGTGCTCCTATTACCGGCGATTCGTGAAGAACTTTGCAGATATAGCCAAACCTCTGCACAAGCTAACCGAGGAGAAGCGACATTTCTGCTGGGATGAAAGTTGCAATATCGCATTCCAGGAGCTCAAGGACCGTCTGTGCAAAACACCTATTTTGGGATACCCTGATGCAAGCAAAGAATTTATAGTTGACACAGACGCAAGTGATATAGGACTCGGCGGTGTGTTGTCTCAACGGAATGGTGACCAAGAGGTCGTGATAGCGTACTTCAGCAAGTCGTTGTCAAAACCGGAAAGGAACTACTGTGTCACAAGACGCGAATTGCTAGCTGTGGTAAAGTCGTTGCAACATTTTAGCAAATATCTTCTGGGACGAAAATTTCACTTACGAACTGACCATGCTGCACTAAAATGGCTGTTGCAGTTTAAAAACCCAGAAGGACAAGTTGCGAGGTGGATTGAACTACTGCAGGAATACGACTTTGAGATCGAACATCGCAGCGGGAAATCTCATGGCAACGCAGATGCATTGTCAAGAAGACCTTGTCCTGAAGATTGCAAACATTGTACTAGGCAAGAGAGTAAGGAAGTGGTATCCGTGAGGATGCTCAGGGCAGACCACCTCAGCAACGAGTGGAAGGACAGCTTACTACATGCACAGCAGGAAGATCCGGACATCAAGCCGATTCTGGAATGGATAAAGGCCAGTGCTCCCAAGCCCAAGTGGAGTGACGTCTCAGCGATGAGTTCGACCACTAAAAGCTTGCTGCTTCAGAATGGAGTTCTGTGTCGTAAATGGGAAAACGTTCGGGGAGACAGCTGTCATTTGCAAACGGTTGTCCCTAAAGTTAAAGTACCGGATGTTCTACAGCTGTACCATAATGATTGTTCAGGAGGCCATCTGGGAGTTAAACGAACTCTACTGAAGATCCGAGAACGGTTTTACTGGGTCCACTGTCGAAACGATGTCGAGGACTGGTGTCGCAAATGTACAAGTTGTGCGGCTGTAAAGGGACCTCAGACTCGTAGTAGAGGTGCATTGAAGTTGTACAATGTTGGTGCACCATGGGAGAGAATAGCCATTGACGTGGCGGGGCCGTTTCCGGAGAGTGAAAGCGGTAACAAGTATTTCATGGTTGTGATGGATTACTTCACTAAATGGCCAGAAGTCTTCGCCATTCCAAATCAAGAAGCTTCAACAGTTGCAGATAAACTAGTTCATGAAGTCTTCTGTCGTTTTGGAGTACCTTTAGAGATTCACAGCGATCAAGGAAGGAATTTTGAGTCTCAAATATTCCAGGAAACTTGCCGAGTTATGGGTACTCATAAAACAAGAACGACTTCTTATCACCCGCAATCTGATGGAATGGTGGAACGATTTAATCAGACATTGGAGAGGTACCTAGCAAAAGTTGTAGACAATCGGCAACGAGATTGGGACAAGCACATACAACCGTTTTTGTTGTCATATCGAAGTTCTGTTCACGAAAGTACAGCAGTGACACCAGCTTTCGCAAACTTTGGAAGAGAATTACGGCTGCCTGCAGACCTGATCACCGGGATACCACCCGATGCTCCACGCAGTATAACCGATTATGCAAATGACTTGCGGAAAAAAATGAATGACGTTTATGAGCACGTCAGACAATCGGGCCAGCAAATGTCTGAAAAGATGAAAACCCGGTATGACCGCAAAATGAACAACAAAGGTTTCGACGAAGGTTCACTTGTGTGGTTGCACAATCCAGTCCGCAGCAAAGGGAAATCTCCTAAGCTTCAAGCTAAATGGGACGGCCCGTACCGGATTGTAACCGGGATCAACGATGTGACCTACCGGATACAGAAAGGCGCAAGAGGGACTCCTAAGATCGTCCATGTGGATCGCTTGGCGCGTTATTATGGGACCGATAATGCTCGGGACGAGCATGTCTTAGGAGGGGGCAGTGTTGATTTGGGCGAAACAAGCGAAGCTTCGGAGTGGAATTAAGTGAATTAGTGTGTTTAAATTATTAGTGTTTTAACTTTAATTGTGTAAAGTAAATTAAAGTGTTAATTTAGGTAATTTTATCGGCAATTTTTATTGTCACGAACCTCAAGCTCGTAACAATAACTTTGCTGTATGAGAAAGCTCAAGGTCAATTCCAGAAGGTTCGTAAGTCGTAAAGTTCCGGATAAATTACTGGCGTATCAGAAAATTTCTTGTAAAACGCCTCGAGATGGTGTGGATGGATTTTCGAGCTCTGCTTTAGTGTACAATGTGTGGTGGATTTCAGCAGCTGAAATTAATTGGAACAAATCCTTTGAACACACCCTGTCATATATACGATAGAAGATGTACAGAGATGGAAAAAAAGTTATGTGGACCAAACCGGTCAGTATGAATTTGGTCGTCAACGATTTGAAACGCTCTCCGTCGAATATGGTCAAATGTAAGGCCAAACCCAAGGTCCAGAGATGAGTACAGTACCTATTCTATATCCATCGCTTTGTAAAGCTGCAAGCAATGAGAAAACATGAAATATCATCTTTATCTACTGGACACACCAATCTTATCAATTTTAGAGTCTTCCCTTTTAAGTGACCACGAAACTGTACTTCAATCTATATGTCGAAGACGACAAGGATGTCACCTGCGAGATGCGACGCTTTGTTGATCAATTTGAATTCCGATTCCATCTTAGTCCTCAAGGGTAACAACGCAGATGTCTATGGGCCACAGAATCCACTTACCATCAGGTGGATTTTGTGCTCGTTTGTCACTCTTATTTTATAAAAAAAGGTTTTTCTGTCACAAAATTATTAGTAGCAGCCTGGAGTCGAGAACACACATTTCACCTGATGCTAAGTGGATTCGGCGTCAATGGACATACATCTATCCTCGATTAAGAATATAATTATAGATGAGTTGTCATCTTTGAAGACAAAAGTAGAATCCCTCGTTACGTTTTTCTCGCAAGCTAGTACCTATATTTTTACAGTATCTCTCAAATACTATGTTTGCTTATAAAAAAAGTTGACAATCCTATCTGTAAACGACTTTGTTTTCACAGAACCGACGCAAAATCAAGCTTTACCAGAAAACCAAGATTTCATAAACCAGGTTACGAGAACGGAGCGTACAAAATTCTAAGAGTTTGTATTTCAGTTGCTTAAAAAAGTTTACTCAAGTAGACATAATTTTTAATACTAGAAACTAAAGTTTAGAATCTGTATGTATTTATATTTGGAGCAATCTTTACATTTGAGAACTGTGATGGTCAGGCAATAAGCTCGCTGTAAATTTCATAGTACATAATTTGATTATTTCGGCAAATATGTTTCTGATTCGTGTTCAGCGATGAAAGATAACGCTGCTTTTTTTCAATTTCAAATATTTTTAATCAAATTTCGTTGTTCCCTATGTTCTACATATATCTGTTTCAAGTCAACTATATCTAGACCATAGAACATATAGCTGACGTGAAACACCAACGCTCCGGGAAGTCTGCATTTTGTGATCATATCCTAGACGGCCTCCGCCATTATATCACATTTGATAGATCACAAATCCACGCGAAATAACATCGATTCCTACCAAGGATGATTCGTGAGGTTATTTAAATTAAATAACATCCCAATTTCAATAGAGAAGGAGGATGAGTACTACCACCTGCTTGGGATCCTGTAATTAATAAAATTATAACTAAACTTCAGCACATATATAAGAAATCATTATGTTCACACATCCTTATGTTTTAAATACTCATCTAATTTATAAAACAGTGCCTTTTACATTTGCTGTCATATACATACAATTATTAAATCAATCAAACTATTTAGGGGAGACTGGGGCTGGTTGTGACATTTTTTATAAAGTGTCGCAATTTTTGTTTGTTTGATTGTTTTACCGGAATGTAGGTTTTTTTTTTATAGAAGAAGGGGCAAACGAGCATGTGGCTCACCTGATGTTAAGTGACTACCGCCGCCCATGATCAACCGCAACACCAGGAGAATTGCGGGTGCGTTGCCGGCCCTTTAGAAAGGAGTAAGCTCTTTTCTTGAAGGTCCCCAGGTCGTATCGGTCCGGAAAAATCGCCGGTGGTAAACTATTCCACAGAGAGGTTGTACGTGGAAAAAAACTCCTTCTGAAACCTACAGTGGTGGATCGCCAAGCATCCAGATGGTGTGGATGCTATCGGGACGTTTGACGTGTAGTGCGTTCACGAAATTTGGTGGCTGGGATTAATCCGAACAATTCCTCAGAGCACTCCCCGTGATAGATGCGATAAAATACGCAAAGAGATGCAACATCTCTTCGCAGCGCCAGTGAATCGAGCCGATCGGAAAGCACTCTGTCGTTGACGTTTCGAGCCGCTCTGCGCTGGATGCGGTCAAGTGGAAGAAGCTGGTACTGGGGAGCCCCAGCCCAGAGATGGGAACAGTATTCCATGTGCGGCCGAACCTGCGCCTTGTAAAGTTGCAGGCGGTGTGCCGGCATGAAATACTGTCCCGCTCTGCTGAGCACGCCAAGCTTTTTAGAGGCCAATTTGGCCTTCCCTTCCAAGTGACCACGAAACTGCACGTCACTCGATATGTCGACGCCGAGGATTCCGATACTGGCTGAGGCAACAAGGGGAGTGCCTTGAAACTGAGGGGATACGACAAAGGGGTTCTTTTTAGCGGTTAACGCGCAAACTTGTGTCTTCTGGGGGTTAAACTGGACTAGATTTAGTCGTCCCCAATCCGAGACTCTGTTCAGCAAAGACTCGACTTCAGACACAAGTTTGTCCCGGCATTCGGAGACGTTTACCCGAGAAATATTGGCTCGGTCGGTGTAAAGAGCATCACCAGTGCTGTCATCTGCATAGCAATGAATGTTACGGGTACGCAACATGTCATTGATATGCAGAAGAAACAGCGTTGGCGATAGCACACAGCCCTGTGGAACACCAGCATTAATAGGCTTGCAATCGGAGCTTGCACCGTCTACAACGACCTTGATGCTCCGATCTGCAAGAAAGCTGGTGATCCAATCGCACAATTTCTCGGGAAGCCCATAGGAAGGGAGCTTCGAAAGAAGCGCTTTGTGCCAAACCCGATCGAAGGCCTTCGCAATGTCCAAACTAACGGCCAATGCCTCCCCCTTGAACTCTACTGCCTCCGCCCATCTGTGAGTTAGGTAGACCAGAAGATCACCAGCTGACCGACCACGGTGAAAACCGTATTGGCGGTCACTAATCAGCTGGTGATCTTCAAGGTACCTCATGAGCTGGCAGTTTACAATGGACTCCATTGTTTTGGAGAACAAGGAGGTGATGGCGATGTGCCGGTAGTTGGACGGGTCAGAGCGGTCGCCTTTTTTTAGGGATCGGGTGGACGTAAGCCGTCTTCCATGATTTTGGGACTACGCCTAGGGAGTAGGAGTACCGGAAAAGACGCGTTAAAACCGGTGCCAACTCTGGAGCACACGTCCTCAGCACAATTGGGGGGGATTCCGTCAGGCCCACTCGACTTGTGGATGTCCAGGGAGAGGAGTGCTTTGCGAACCGAGCGCTGTGTGAAGTGCACTTCCGGCATGGAGCACTCACACCGCGGGATGGTCGGCGGAGTACTCCCCCCGTCATCGAGAGTCGAGTTAGACGCAAAGAAAGAGCCTAGAAGATCGGCTTTCTCCTTTGAGGTATGGGCCAGTGAGTCGTCCTCCCTGTGCAGAGATGGAAGAGATGGCTGACAGAAATTCCCCTGGACAGCCTTGGCGAGAGACCAGAATGCACGGGTTCCAGAAGGAAGGCGAACTAGTTTCTCGCCAATTCTGCCTATGTGCTCTGACTTTGCCTTGGCAATGACTCTTTTGAAGGACCTAGAGGCGGAATTATACTTCTTTTTTAGAGCGCTGGTGTTTACATCCCGGGCGGCTGATGCATTAGCCCAGGCTTGGTAGCACTCCTGCTTATAGCATGATGCTATTTTACAGGAGCGACCAAACCATGGCTGAGACTTGCCTCCAATGGGCACCACAGAGGAAGGAATAAAAAGTTTCATACCCTGAAGTACCACATCAGCAACAGAGTCCGCAACAACGTTGGGATCATCCGGCGAGAAGCAAACCCGCCCCCAAGGGTAGGATGCAAAGAAAGACCGCATCCCATCCCAATCGGCTGACCTATAGTGCCAAACACGGCGGCAGCCTGCAGAATGCAATGAGGACCTATAGAGGCACCCGTAGACGCGCGGATAGTCGTCCCTGTCTACGCGTAGCCAAAGAATGGACAGGTCCGAACCTTCAAGTCTGCCGAGGCGTCGAGAGCAGATGTCCTCTCTGACGTAAACGCAAACTCCAGCCCGAGGCACAAAGGAGTGTTCCAGTTTGTACCCCGGGTAGGAGAGATACGAGACATCAGCCGGAGAGGACACCTGCGTCTCGGTCAGAAAGAGCAGAGCCGGCCTCGCCGTCTCGAGATGGTAGTGGACGGCGTTTAGGTTAGAGTGAAGTCCCCTGATATTGCAGAAATTCACGGACAGCGTGGCAGGGGTCGCCTTGGTCTTGTTGCTTCGTTTGCCCCGAGCAGTTGTAGTCTTGAGCGGAATTTTGCCCCCCCCCCCCAGGATACGCGGGGCAGCCTGAGCACCCACGCTCAGAAGTGGAGAAACATGGTCGTGGATGCTCAGCGAGGGATTCTCCAGGGGTGCTGGTACCCTCCTGGGGTAGTCGATCATTATTTAATTCCGCTACCATGTTGATGGGGGGGGGGGGATTTGGGCCTCCGGCCACCTGCACTCACCAGACGAAACGCGGAAGCAGAGCTTCCACTTCACGCCGGTATTCTGTGGGGTCGTGGTACCACCCCGGTTTGAGCCGGCCCATACATGCAACAGCAAAGCTGCCGCGTGGCTCTACCACTGTTAAAAAGGTTTTTTGAATAAGTAATTATTCGGGTTATTAATTTAAAAATAATTTTAGATACCAGACTATTAGAAGTGACATAAATGAATTAATTCTGGGAAAAGAGCCGTGTAACTTTTAGCCCCGCACCAGGGGCTGGTTGTTACACTATAAGGGGCAAAATGTTCACAAAAACCAAATGTAACTTTTTATTGAGAATAATGACAGTTTATAACAATTATTACGTATACAATGTCAAACTATATTTTCTATATAACAGTCTTTTGCCTCATTAAAATAAGAACATAGTAACTTCGTTGAACAAAATTATAATCTTATTTTGTATACTTACGCCTTAAAAAAAATAAAATTTAGGTAACTTCCAACCGGCAGAAAATTATAAATTTCTTTATTAAACAAAAGCTTAGTATAAATTGAAGATGAACAAAAAATAAAAAATAAAATTACATTAGCAAAAAATAAATAAGTCAAATATATCAGTCGGCAAGCAAAGACAAGTAACAACCTGCCCCTAGAAAATGTCACTTTTAGCTCCAACGCCAAAACTGACCTTTTAAGGTTAAGTAGTAAAAACACAAATAAGTATAACTGTATAAACGTAAGTTCGTTGCAATAAGAAAGGATTAGGGCACACATATCACAACACACACATATCTGCTTTAAAGGAAAAGAGGTTTTAGACCAATATTACGAAAAAACGAAAATGTTACTAACATGCGGTTTTGACGGCAACATGTACGGGCTCCTCTCACAAAAGCCCTGGCGCCATAGGTTCGCGCGGCGTGCTAGCTGATGGTCGCGTGATCGTTTGTACCTTTCTCACGACAATACAGCGTTCTCAGTTTAGCCACGGTTGCCGCTGTAACTACCTACCCCTGTCACTACCAGTCCCAGTCTCCCTACTCGAATTGTGTGCTTGTGATGATTTCATGACCATTAAAAATGTGCCGTGTAGTGGCGGTGTAAGAATATCCACTACCTCACATCAAAATCACGTAGGTGTCGTATGAGACGACAGGGGGAAACAAATCAGGAGATGAGCAGCAGCGTCTTCGTAATTACGTCACTACAAATAAAATAGGAGCCGTGGTAGCTCAGATGGTTAACGCTCGCTGTAAATATAACAGAACGCGAGTAACCTGGGTTCGATCCCCGCCGGCACCAATGAAATTGTTAATTAAAATTTTAAGTGTTGGTATACCACGTGCTCGACGGTGAAGGAAAACATCGTGAGGAAACCTGCATGTCTGAGGAATAAGAAAAGAATTAATTCCTTGCCCTAAAACGCTCTCAGAAAAGAGGGGGGGGCCTGTTCCCAGCAGTGGCACGTATATAGGCTGTAACTAACTTTAAATAAAAAAACTGCGGTTGTCAACCCGCTTGCCAAGCGTGGCAACTATCACAAACATCCCCCCTATGAGGCAATCTATGGGAGAGGCCTATGTCCAGCAGTGGACTTTATGGACTGTAACGGTAACGGTAAAAAGTGGATGGTTGGGGAAGTCGATCGTGTCGTTTTTATTTTACTCATTTTTTCATATTCCATCGAGTGGTCGGTCGATAAATGCTCGACCTGATTGTCAATTGTTTGATTTTTTGTCAAGCAGCTATCAAGTTTCATTTAAAAAATTTAAAAAAACTTAAACCAATCTTTAAAATACCCTTTTAATTCAACCACAAAACTATTTTTTTTCTAGAGTACAGCCTGTTTATTACTTTTTCGTTTCAGAAATCACAACGAAATTTAAGTCTACGTTATGTCCCTGCAGAAGACAGTAAGTACTTTGTTGATATCTTCTAGTTCCATTACATAATTGTATTCATCTTCAGTTCATTTCCTGGCTGCCACTATTTGTAATATTTGCCATTATCGCAGTGGCAAACGATTTACAGTATTGACATCGCAGAACTGACTCTAATATACTTTACAACTTACTACTAGTAACTGTTTCACTGGTAAAGAATGCCTTTTGGCGTTAAGGTCATCTGTTTTTACTTTATATGCGCAATAAAAGTTTAAAAACATCGTAAGGATTTTCGTCCAACCTGGCCTACATTGATTTTAATGAAATATAATATGTAGTGATGGCGCCGAAAACAATCCATCACTCTGTTTTGTTCCCGTGGGTGACTTCCTATAGATAACAGTATAACCATCTCGTTTACCTTAAACGTAAAACAACCAGATTTGAGACGAGCGCAGCGTCAAAAGTGCAATAATATCGACACTTTGATTCCTCAATACGAGTATGGAGGGCATGGGCGTCTCAAAAACACGTGTAATTAATTTTTGAAAAATAAAAATTATTATAATATTATATTATACTTTGATCACCAATCCTTCTGCCCTGTCCGTCTGTCTCATGCCCAGCGGTGGACTTAACGGGCTGGTAAAGAAGAAAGAAAGAGTAATATTTTATATTATGTATTTTATTTAAAAATAACATACACTTCTTCGACTTGGATGTTAAGATACATTTTTCTATTAAATTAGTGATTTATTTTAATAAATTGACTCAAACATTTTGCAAAAATACAGGTAATTGTTTACTGGTAGAATTTAAAAAAGTTATATTTCTCTGTATTGTAGAAATGAATGGTCGATAATTAGTGATGCCACTACCCAGTGACTGTGATATCAATATCAATGGACGGTTTAGTAATATCCTCCAAACCGAATTCCGGTTACGGCAGTCTCAACGGAGACAATAGCCATCTGCGCCGGACATACTGCATCGAAATGACCGGAGCACAAAACACAGGACTGAAACATCGCCAGTTTCCGGACATCCGGCTGCTCCTGATAAAATGTCAGAAAAAGTCAATAACTGATTTTGGTCCGACCCAGAATTCGAAGGAGGCAGTCAAACGGTATTTAAATAAAAATATTTGAGTCCAGCTTGGGTTGGAATTCTGGATATCGAGACTTAACTTTTTCGGACTAAGATTGATGTAAAGCTTCTGCTAAGTCACAAACTAAGCATTCGTTAAAACTTTTTGACAGTCTACCACATAATGTTTCTGTTTTTTTTTTTTCAGAAATCAGCTTATCAGGTCAATGCAACTCTGCAAGTAGTTTTTGATTGAGAATTTTTTGTATTGTTGGTTTTAGTGAATAACGACATTAGAAATAAACACGTTTGTTTTTTTCAACGGCATTTTTATTTATGCTTGAGTAGCCCTAATTTAGTTTTTTAATAGATCTTATAGGTCCTTTATCTGTAGATATGTCCATCTTATATAGTAACAATCTCTTTCACTGTTCCTGCCGCTGAACGTTAATAGCCTCATTTACATTCAGCCCCTGCCACTGCTCCTCGCGCTGCCGGCAATACTTCGATAAATACTGCCGTAGCCGGATCGCGGGAAGCAAAAAAAAATCGATTATTTAAAAAATAAAAGCATTTTAATTTTTTTTTTTTTTTTGGTAAAATTCCTATCCTTCGGTTTTAAATTATTTTCTCTTTAAGGAAACGGTGTATTTTTTTCAAAGTAGTTTTATTTGAAAGTTAGAAAGATTAACTAGCAATAAAAATAAAAAAACCTACGATATCAAGCAGGAAATTTGTCAAAAAAAGTAATAAGATTTAAACCCGCCATTTTTTTGTTAAAAAATACTTTTCTTTTTAATTTTTGGTCTGTAACTTCAAAACTAGCACATTGAGGTAACTTTTTTAGCATGTTTTATTAAACTGCATGATTTACTCTACAAGTTCTCCAAAATAACATGGGTTCTATCTCTTATCGTTGTTAAGATAATCACTAAAAATAACGTAGGTAATCTGAGCACAAAATTCAAAAGTGATTTAATAATGATTTAATTGACAAAATTATGGAATAAAACAAATAAACCGTAGAAAAATGATTTAATTTATTAAATTTTCAAAATGACTACCATTTTCATCCATACATACAGTACACGTAATGCCACACTACGTACTGTTTTTTTTTTTAATACAGTACGATTTTCTTTTATTTGACTAGCCGCAGCCATTATTTTTTCTACACAATCTGTTTCATGTGGCCCAACAAAAAAAAAACCAGGGGGGTCATATCAGGGCTTCGTGCCGGCCACGTTACTGGTCCGCCTCGTCCAATCCATCTGTCTCCGTATCGTTCGTTTAAATACTCACGCACGATGGTGCTGAAGTGAGCTTGAGCGCCGTCATGCTGATCCATCCTGCTCCTTGTTTGTAGATCCACATCACTCATCAGGTCAGGTAACTCTTCTTGTAGAAATGTTAGGTAAGCTGGGCCTGTCAACCTTGACGGAAGAATAAATGGTCCGATTAAGTAATCACTTATCATTCCAGCCCAAACATTAATCGAAAATTCGATTTGAAAGGACGCTGGCCGAACTGCTAAGGAATTTCTTTCCTCCGGCATCCACAAGTAAAGGTTTCGAAAATTTGTGATTCCAGTTCTGTTAAAATTTGCCTCATCGGTCCACAAAATACGGTCACAGAAGTTCGGGACTAATCGTCTTTGCCGCAATAGCCACGAACAGAAAACACTTCTTCCGACGTAATCTGGCTCGTGCAAATTCTGCAGTCTTCGAGAATGAAAGGGGTACAAACATATCTTTTTCAAAATTTTCCACACTTGGACGTGATTCCCAATTGGAGTGCTATTCGTCGAGTACTAATTGTGGGGTCTTGGTACACCAAACGCTACACTTGTTTATCCACATCCACCGGTACAGTAGGAGCACGTTCACGATGTGGGCGATGCAGTCCATTTTCACTTAATTCTCGATGTACTGCTAAGAAAACCCTGTAGTCAACGGCAGATCTTGTCGGGAATCGCTGATGATACTCTCGAGAGGCGGCGCGAGCGTTGCCATCACAAAACCCGTAAATGTAATGAATATCAGCTACTTCACGAGCAGACAATAATAATAATAATAAAAGGCGCATAAGCACAAATCAACATACCGATAGCATTCTTTGATGATTATTATTTTAAAAACGAAAAGAGATAGAACGCATGTTATTTTGGAGAACTTATACAATACGCTATATGTTATATGGCCAAAACCAAAAGTTGCTGTAAGCACAACCCGTGGTGCATTTTGCTACAGTTCAACAAATATTTTATAAGCATTTTCTCTTCTTGTTTTGAAAATATTTAAGCAACAGTGTATTTAGAACTGTCTGACTAAAACGATGATCTTTGGTTATGTTTAAAAGATTTTCGAAATCTCTTGATAGGATGTTGCAATGTTGCAGCTTTGATATTGCACATATCACCTACTACACGTATAGATCATTTCTTCGATATAACGTTGGATATGGGCTTCATAACTTCTTTGTTTATATTAAATCGTTCTGTTTTTGTTTATAGGTCCACACCACTCTCTGAAAAAAAAGAAGTCGCTACATTAATTATTAATTACAAAATTTTACATTGGGGCAGAATGATACGCACCAAAGTGCCTCAAAGTTTACCGTATCATTGTGCCCCAACAGAAGTTTTTGTAAAACATTAACATCATGTTTATCTATGTTGATTTATTGAGAAAAAATCATTAAACTAATATTTATGGATGGAACTGCTCACTTTTAATATGTATAAATATTTCGAAGAAGTTTCAGAAAGTGAGTGAAACTTTTTTTTCATTCCACGTGTTTTTTTTTTAATAGGACGAACACAAAACACAAATGATCTCGTCTAACGCCATCAGCTAAATGGATGGCTGCGCGGTCGCAAGTGCCGCGCTAAGGCAGGCATAGACAAGTTATAGTGTTATCACGACTCGATTACATCTAATCCATTAGGTGAATCAATATGCCCCTTGCATCAAACTGCCCCGCCTCCCCCTACATTACAAAAATTAAAATGGACGCGTGATAGCAGTGACGACGTCTTGTGAATTTACCTGTGAAATGTGTAATTATCAGGATTATTTCTATTATTGACACTTTAGTCACTCACAGAATAAGTAACCACTTTGCAAAGCATTTATTTACTTAAAATAACTACTATTATACTCGAAAATTACAAAATATCTAGGTACTTATTTCTTGCGTGCCAAATTCTTCTTTTTCTTTCATATGGCGGTTTGGTAAAATTCGCCAGTGACGTGCGTACCGACTCAAATAATAATAATATTATTATTATTATTCATATTATTATTTAGTTTTAACAACAATCTCATCTGATACTATAGTATTAAAAATTTGGTTATGTAGTAAAAAGAGGGATGCAGATTTACTCACCCAGGTCAACGGCATGGCTAAGGACGATTTTGATGATAATCTATTCTTGACGTTTACTGGCTTTATAAGATATCATCATCTTCAACTATCCGCTGGGTTAAGCTATAAAAATCTCTCCCAAAAACTTCACCATGTGACGAATCAGCGTATTGTGAAGAATTTCATGATTAAAATACACATTAGACTAAGCTAAATCTCCCAAATACTTCGCAATATGACGTATCAGCATATTGTGAAGAAAAATATATAAAAACGAAGAAGAATGACGATGTGGCTTAAAGGACAAGCATCCTAGCCAAAAATCTTAATAATAAATTTAAAAATAAACGTCACTAGCGTCAAAGTTGGTTTGTTTATGTGTCATTTTCCATTACCTTTGGTTTTGCTTAGCAAATTCATGAGAAAATGTGTGATATAAACGACAATCCCATTAAATTAAGTGTTAAATGGAATGGCAAGGAATATGATATACCGGAACTGTCGCCTTCGGACTCGGTTGCAATGCTTAAGATTGCCATCGAAAATGCCACGGGTGTTCGACCGGAAAGACAAAAACTTCTCAATGTTAAATTTCAGGGTAAATGCAATTAAATTTTTACTTAAAATGTGTAGGCTTTCTATCGAAATAATTATTATGTACAGAGAACCCCTTAAGTGTTCAATTAAATTAAAATAATTTAATAAATTTAGGCTATGATCGCTATTATAATACAGTTGACCTGCGGTAATCCGACAAACGTTTAGCAAGACGGTGTCGGATTATCGAATTTGTCGGACTATAGAGTACTGTCACAGCCCTCTGATCAGTCAGTCTAGTATAAGTTAATAAAAACATCATGTGAAGCACAATGAATATCTAAACAGTAAATAATGAACGCCCGCTAGGCCGCTGCCATAGTCACATTCAAACTAAGACAATAGTCAGGCAAAATTATTATTGGCGGAAACTAGTTACAACCTGTTTGTCCACGTATCCGTGAAGAACACCTCTCCCCGTGGCGGATTCATAACACGACTCAACTCTTCCTACATGTTATAGGTATGTCGGATTACAGGGGGTGCCGGATTAGACACGGGCCGGATTACCGGGGGTCCACTGTATTATTATTACCACGTATATTATTACCTACTTTGATTAAACATGTAAATACATGTTCAAGATTACCCAATATTCTCTAATTTAAATCTGTATTAAAAAGTGAAAGTGGATTTGTCTGTAGTCAATCAAAAGTTATTTTTCTATGTAGCAAAATAATATTTCATTTGCATTAACTATATATGTTTAGTATTCTTAATTTTATATATTTAATCATGTAATTTGAAAAACTACATTAACATATTACATTTTACCTATTTCTGTTTAATTTAATATAAAATAATACATAAATCACAGCAAAAAGAAAAGAGTTATCCCCCAATTATTTTTTCATTGTGACTATTTTTTTTAACCCTAAAGACTCAATTGACGAATACTAGTTGTACAATCAGAAAAGAGCAAAAATACAAAGTAAACAAATTTAACATGACCTCATCTGCACATTGTGAGGGTACCAATAGCATAATATTTTATGATTGTGATTAAACTATAATTTAAAATTTATCAATATTTTATTTAGTATTATTGTTTTATTAACAAAAATAATAATATATCATTTTATATATATTAATACAGCCCAGCCATGTAAGAATACTATTTAAATATTCAATAATAATAATAATAATATTTTAGATTTAAATAGAGCAAACAATATAATCAGAATACCAAAATCAATAAATATCTTATTTATATCCCATCTCCATAATCTAAAACATACTACCTCAATTACTCAAATACATATTACCTATTAAACAACAAACTATCATTG